TCCTTCCTTTCCTTCTTTTCCTTCCTTTCCTTTTCTTTTTGTTTCTGGATGAGAAGAACTTTTCAAAATGTATTTACCTTTTACTTTTGACTCTCTAGAGGTGCCCTACAGAGGCTTTAAATGACCACACTACAAATAAAATTAGAAGGTCATTGATAGTTTACTTTCACATTTCCAAAGCAACAGCAAAATAGAAGCTTTGGCATTATAGTCAACTCAAACAGAACAAATTAATCATATAGTTTGTGTCACTTAAATCATTTGAGCATCATTATCAGGGCTAGGATTTATACAAAATAGCATGTACTTAAATATGTTCAAAGTAAAAATGTTCGAATTGTGGGGAACAGGCTAGAAATTGAATATGATTTAAATACTGAAAATAATAAAGTAATGAAACATTTAAATTACATCAATAGAATGGTCAAAAAGCTTGATTGTAGTATTAGCTGTAGAACAAAATTAAATTATCTTCAAAAATATACTAAACATTCTGTCTTCCTGAATGTAAGTGCTTTTATTCTTTTCTGATTAATTGGCCATTTACAATGGAATGGGTTATAAAACTCTATTTTAAGGGTGCAAATGTGAAACTGCCCTTTTTATTTCTTAATAGTGCGTTGATGTTAAAATGCTGCTCAACTTCAGAAGTAGTATTGGAGACATCTTGAAACTTGCCATTTACTTTGGAATTAATTTTAGTTACACTTCTACACCTGATTTACCACTTTAAATCGCACTAGAAGTTAAAATTAAACTTCCAAGAATAATTTTAAAAGATTAAAATATGGGTCACATTTCTAATAACATGTTGAAATTACAAAGAAATGTTTTTCTTAAATATGTGAAAATATATACCACACCTGAAAATATGGATAAATATGAATACAGTACAAACCCACCCAGAATTGACATTTTCCCTCATTTCTCGCTCACAACAAGATTTATTTTGTCAGTCAAGAAGGAGTTTATTTGCTCTAGTAAAGTTTGAGGGAAGTGTGCCCTTTGTTATAGCTCTATTTGCGTTCGTACAATGTTATGTCATGTAATGGTACTAGTGCTGAAAATGGAAGAGGGATGATAATTAAGATGCAAAAATGGGCCCAGAGGTAGATGGAATACCTCCATTATTTAAAATAATAATAATAATAATAACAATAATAATATAATAATAATAATAACAATAATATGTAAACTTTATCTGTCTCCTATATTACACCATTTTTTTCTAAATCTGTTTTACAGAGTTCATTAGTTCATTTCCATCAATTTGGAAAAGGAGTTTTATAACTCCCATCTTGAAGTTCATAAAACATTGTAACATGATAAAATATAGACCTGTTTCATAATTGAGCACAATAGTTAAATTATTTGAAGAATCAATCTGTTTCTCATCAAAATATACTTAAGCATCGACAAAATGGTTTCAGGCGTAAATGCTCAACATTGTTTAACTTATCGATATTTCAACATTATATACCGGAAAAATTGGAATCAAACTTGCATGTTGATATGACATACACTGATTTTTCAAAAGCATTTGACCCTTAAACATAAAATATTGTTAGATAAAATTTATAATGTAGGGATTCATAGAAATTTCCGAAACTGAATAAAAAGTATCAGTTGCACAAATTTCAAAATATCAAATATAAATCATTTGAGACAAAAGAAGTTATGGTTACATCAGGTGTACCACAGGGTTCACATTTGGGCCCACTACTATTCATAATCTTCACTTAACAAATTAATTAAATATAGATACGTACTCAAATATGAAGCATATCAAGCAAGCAAGATAAAGCAATTGTTAAATGATTTTTCAAGAAGTGTGTGTGATACAATTATGAAATACCTTGTAATTTCATAGTAAAAAAGTATTGTTAATAATAGTTACTAACATTTTATATAATGTATTACTGGGCCATTGCCTATTTATAAATGAATTTGTGTAAGAAAAGTTTAAGTAGGGGAAAATTTGGAGGTTTTTATAAAACTAGAAATTATTATAAAAAAATAGTACAGCATTCTACTTTGATCAATTTCAATTTTTTGAGTTTCTAAAAAAAAAATTATTTATTTATTTGTACTATCATTGACAAATTACTTTTAGGTTGCTTGAATTCTTTATTTATTTTCTTTAAATATAGTGAAATATTCTTTAAATCTTATGAGTGAAAAATATAAAAACCAGCGTAAGTCCACGAATTTGTTTTAGGAAATACATGGCTATCCTATTCTGTATATTCTAATGTTAATTAAAGTAATTTTTTTTTCCTTTGCAGTGAACATGCGCTCATCGCAAGCTTCATCCCAGCCCTGTGGAGGGCCACCTCCAGTTGATATTCAGAAAGCTGAAGAGGCCAAGAAAGAAGGTGAGAGTTTTATTATCATGCAAAATGGGGCACCAAAGTTTTTGTTTGCAAAGAGTAAATTTAAACAATTTAGCATTATAAAATGTTTATATAGATAATTTTAAATTATTGAAAGTCAAATGTTTTGGACAGTATATTTTTCTCAGAGAAGTTTAATTTGATTCAATATTTATGTGGTTGGTTATTCTACATGTGCGCGTATGCAATCACACCCATGCGTATGAAACCAAATATTGGTTTCTCTAACTACGAAATATGACAGTCTCAGCATTTCGACTCAAAGTACTTTCCAAGATATATAATTAATAAGTTGACTAACATTTATTACATATTTCAAAAAATTGTTTGGGGATGTTCTATTAAAGAGCTGATATCCTAAACTTTCACAATTTCAGGATAGACATGAGAAAATTATGGTGATTGTAACTTCCACCTTGCATAACACAAAGTTCCGTGTGTTTTTAAGTCAATGCTTTGAGGTACCACTCTTTGACTACTCCAAATTGCTCATAGGATCAACTCTCATCCAGTTTCAAGGATGTTCTTATAATAATAATAATAATTATTATTATTATTATTATTATAATCATAATAATATAATATATATAAGTTCTGATAGTAGCCAAAAGTTATCCTTTTTTTATTTTAAATTTATTTGATGCAGCTATTCAACATGAACTTATGCAGCAGAAACAGACACTGGCCAAACAACGTGAGGAGTATGTGAAGAAAGCCGTTGTGATAGCACGAGAGCTGAATCTTCTAAAGGACCAGGAAGCTGAACTTCTGCGTGAAGACTCACGTGACAGCAAGGCTACTCGAATCCTCAAAGAGAATCACAAACTACAGGTGGGTTTTAATTATGTGCAAACCATAATAATAATAGTGAGTGAAATTTATTGTTATTAGTGAAGTATTAATTTGTGTACTCATCATTTCTGTCCAAGAAACTTACGTTATTTTCTTAATGTTATTGAAAACTGTTTTTTGTTGCTATTGTGCTGCATCGTACTGTATTCTATTGGCAATTTTGTAAGATTGTTTCGTTTTAAAAGACAACATCAAGAGAAAATTAATGCTTGTGACATTCGTACTGTTGTAAGGTATTCCAGTTACAAAATATCTTTGGTAATGAAATATTCTGCAGAGATACTTCATGCACATGTGAAAACATAATGCGTAATGAATCAACACAAATACTACATGATATTTGGTCATTCTTAATATGCAACTGTAGTGGTGCTTCAATGCAGAATGAAAGTTTGTTCTTATTCTCTAAAATGGTTTTTAGGAGACGAACAGTGATTTTTATCAGTTTATTAATAATTTGATAATACTTCAATACTGCTACTGTTATAGTTAACCCATTGAATCTTGTTTGGAGAAGTTTCTTGATCTGCATATCTTATGAAGTTGAGTATCATTGGGGGTATGTTATTTGATGTCAAATATTCAGGGTTGAAGAATTCTAAAAATATTACTTTATAGTTATTTTGCAAGGTAAAGAAGATACCACTTTTTCAAAATACAAGATTGCAATTAAATTCTTTGTTAAAACTTAGTTTTTTCTATATTCTTGTGAAGAATACAGAAAATGAGTGTTAGTTATTTGCCCTAAGGTGCTGTGATTCAGGAAATAATAGAAATATTTGGCAAGAATTGAAAAATATTTGTCTAATCTTTTTGGATCTTGACATTCTAGGATACTTTTCTATCACATTCTCTTCTATTGGTTTACTGTCTTATCTAACCTTAGCAGTTGGCCATTTGAATTCCCTAAAACATCGTATTGAGACAATTATCAAGATCCCCAAGAAATTGGCTGAAATAAGTTTGTGAGAGAGCACTGATGACAGTTACTGTAGGTACAAGCATTCGAACGTGAATAATGATAAAATCATGAAATAGAATTTAAATTACATATTTCCCCAGATTTAGTGTCCTTCATGTTGCAAATGAAGTTGTGTATACATATCTATCAGAAGGTTAAAAATCTTCGTAAAAGATAAAAGCATCGGTAGTGCTCCATAAAAACTTTTTTGTAGTGTATAACATGTTTGGACTATAGAACTAAATTTGTGTGTGTGAAACTCAGTGGGTGATTATCATACCTCTTTCTGTAGTTTGGTGGGACACCTAAAAATAGCCAATTTATTTATTTCCAAATTGTGACTGGTTTCTCCTGTGGCCACTTAAAAATTGCAACCAATTTTGGCAATGGTCAGATACTCGTCTTGGTGAAGACCATTCGATATTCTACACCTTGACCGTGTTTGAGACTCTTCAAGAACAAGAAAGTACCAGTTCATGTTATGTAATTGCAAAGCCAATATTAATAAGCTTATTTAAAATTATTTCTTAAATATTAAAAAGGGAAATAAAGTAAATTATCTTGGTTCTACTCATCATGCGGGGTATTTTGCAAATTATGATTTTGAAATTATCACATAGTAGGTCTCTATACCTTAATGGACTGTTTTGTCCAATTTGTTACTAAGTATATATGTAGATGTATTGTCTTATTGCATTTGGGGTCAGCACTCCTGAAATCAAATGCATGCTGACAAAGGTTGATAACATGTTGTAAGAAGATATTTATCTTAGTGGAATAACACATTAAACTTTAATTGTTTAAACAATATTAAATAATCAAAACATATTTACCTCATGAGTCTGGTAGTGTAATTTCTATTTTTAGAGTCCTATTTTAAATACATAATCTCTCAGAAATACTCTTAAAAATAAAAACTCTTAACCTGAAGAACATGAGGTGAGGATGACTAAAAATCTTAACTTCAACCAGTCTCTACCTGTTTGTAAATTCTTCCGTGCAGTAACTCTGTTTTTCAGTATCAATGAAATCTTGCTTAACTTTATCAAACAGATTAATGTAGTGAAACAGGATATGAGGTCTTGTAATGTACATTGTAAAAATGTATCAAGCATCTGAAAATGGTCACTGATATCAATGATAAATGGAAATGTGACATCAGTAGGCCCTACAAGAAAGCTACAAGCTCTATGATACAAAAACAAGTAGTTCTTAGAAGTTTATGCACAGTTATGTCACTGTGTACTCCTTCATGCTGCTCGCTACATTATGGGAAGACAAGAGTATGTAGTTGACTCTCTTCAATTCAACGACAACTATTCTATTTTGTGGTATCTTCTTTATTGTAGTTGTCTGCTGTCAAATTCACACTTGAAGAATTCAAATTTTAACTTCAATCACTGTTTACAGTGAAATAATAAAAATATTTTAATTACAAATTGGGATTGTAGTTGTGTTTAGGTTTGTGTCTTTTGGATTATGGTAAGTACTTAAGGTCAATTGATTTGCAATGAACATGATTCTGTGTACAGTACTTTTTTCTATTGCTGTGCAACTGGCTTTTAATAATTTATGTCTATAGAAGTTCTTAAAATATTTCACAAGCAGGTCTATCTTTCAACTTTAACAAGTATCTTTCTTCATTATTTTCTCATAATTCTAACGTTATTATTTTATACGTCTAATGCTTCAAGATTGTTAGCCTTGCTGGACAAAAAGGATACTCATAAATCGAAGACCTTCATTATTCGAATTTTAAAAGTTTGTTTGTAATTTAAGTGTCCGGTAAGTAGTATGCAACTTTTGCAAACGGTACTTTCTCAAGATTCACGGATTTTCCGATCAGTGATGACGGTCGATATCATTGGATACCAGTGTTACTGATGTTAATTGATATTTTTATTCCAGGCAGCTAGCTGGGTAGCTCCAGGTTCTAAAACATCATATGCTTTTGTCATTATACAGTTTTTCGTTGAGGTCATTGTATAATTTCCCACAAATATGTTACCTTTTGTTTTTGCTGTTCTCCAAGATTGAAAGTAAGAATTTGTAATTCTAATAACTTTTGATTAGAAAAATTGGGAATTACAATCTATTTGTCTTGCTAGTGATCAATGTTTAGCTTCTCTTTGTGTGTTTTTCTGTTACTGCAGCTGGAAATACAGAACAAGTTAAAAGCCATCAACAACGTAATTGATATGTTGACTGGCATAATCGGTGATGAGAAAGACGTCGTTTTCAAGGCAGTGCAGAGAGAGGAGAGTAAAGCAGCAAAGGTGAGTTCTAAATGTTGTTCTTTCATATAATGAGAACTAGCCAGTAGTTTTGTAAATTTAACTGCAGGGATTAATAAAATAATATAAAGTGACTAATTTCTTTAAAAAGCTCTGAAACTGTAACATGAAATATATCCGTTAGATGTATGAACTTGCAATTGCTGCTGTGTGTAGTTGGTAGAAATGCACATGATAAAAGTAAATAATGTAGGTTCAGTTAATAGTTCAATGACTTGATGAGCGGACCGGCAATTTCACTAGACAAGAGTTCAGGTAGATGTTTGAAATTTTTATAATCTTCAAATGTAAAATTGTTGGCCAGGACACTCTTGATTAAAAGTCTAGTAAGTTTTTCTATATTTACTTCTGAAGGGGCTATGAGGTAGTGAGTTTGTTGTATACAAATAAGAGAAGAAGCAACAGAACTTAATGATATATTTGGGAAAGAATTTAGTTACAATTGCATTAAATTATTGGGAATAGTTACATTAGAAATTATTTTCTGTTAAAGATTTGTAAAAAATCTTTAAGGTAGATTGTTTTTGTGTAATTATTTAAATGTTATCATTAGTGGATAAATGAAGCACTCCTTATTTTCCCGTAAATGGCATGCTGTAACACAAGAGTTTGTAGAGTTTGTCATGATTAAACTCACGGTTTCTTCATCACACTGAGAGAGATTTTTCTCAGATACTGTGTGTGTGTATTGCGTTGGAATCATAATCATTGCCACAGAACTGTAAGTATTGAAGCCCCAGATGCAAACTGGGGATAGTTTGGGCTCCATTTGAACTCAATCATGAAATGTTTTTGTGTATGCTCTTCACAGAAGCGAGCAAAGTCGCCATCGTCAAGCCCACCCCGTCGCTCTGCATCGGAGTCCGATTCGGACTCTGATTCTTCTCCAGAACGGGATAGTCGCAAGAGTAAAGCACAAGATGACAGGAAAGACTCGAAGCAGTCACCAGCAGTCCCTCCTCCGCCGCCCATAAGCCACGCGGGTTCGTCAGATCGTCAGGTGTACAACTATGTGTATTATGACCCTGAAATGCATTGGTGTCGTGTGTGCAATGTATTCCCTAGAACAGCCAAAGAGTTTTTGAATCACTTGCACAGTTCTGAACACAAGAAGGAAACTTTGGTGAGTATTTTTCTCATTTATTTTTTTATATAAAATTCAGTGGGTTGTCTGTGGGTTTTGTGTGTTTGTGGTCACTTTTGTCTATCCATGTTTGGCAAGTACTGCAGAGGTAGAGAGCAAGAGTAGTTGATGTAAAGTGGTAATTGTAAATAAAGTTGTAGGTTTTTAATATAAGTACAGATACAAATTCGTTGATAAGATTCTTTAAGAAGAAAATTGTTTGGAGAGGAAAATAGGATTAATAAGATAGCTGATGAAAAGATTATTGAAATGTAAGGATGATAAATGCAGAAATATATTTAGGACCTACATTTACTTTACATTTGTTTTACTTTAACCAAAATTCTTTCAAAGCAATCAATGAGAAGGATACCAATCTCTACAAAATACTTTCAAGCAAACAAAAATTACGAATGACGAAGAAACTTAGAATTCATAAGTTTTGCGTGTCTTATTACAAATAGTATAAATTTCCTTCCTTATTTACATATGTGGTGTTATATTTGGCAGTTCTGTACTTAATCATCTGAAAATAAATTTCCCCTGGATATTAGATACCTTCCTTCTAAGCTGTACAAATTCAGCACTAGAAAAGTAGGAGACACCAACAGTAGGTTAGCTTTGAACTTTTAAGTTCATTGTATTACTTTAATGAATTCCTACAGCTTTATGTCAACTTCAGTAGTTGTAGAAAATGACAAGTAAGCAAATTTAAAATTATCATGATTAAAGATTTAAAAAAGTTTTGTAATTTTCTACTCATTGAATATGACTTTTGCAGGGTCTTGAATTTAACACGATTTTCTTGTAATTTCTGCAATTATATAGATGTGGAAATCCAATTAAGTTACGATTTGAAGGAGATGGAAATAAAAATATTTAAAATGCACCCCCCCCCCAAACAAACATGATTGAAACGCTCTAAAAGTGTGTCCAAAGAACTGCTGTATTTGTGTAGAAAACAGAAAGAAGTGTATACCCAAACCGAGACATTCGGGTTAACGAAAATGTTTCCCCTATTATAATAAAATGCAGGAAAGAGGGTGATCGTTATGGTACCCCTTCATTTATTTACTTATTGTAATACTTAAAAAATTTCCTGTTAAAATTTATGTAACCCATTTGGAGCTAACATTCCCGGATGTTGTCATTCAGGAAATTGCAATCGTGAGGTGTATAAATAAAACCTGTGTACAGCATAAGGTCTAGTTAATTTTTTTTGATTGTAGGGTATAATATTTTGCATTGTTTGGGACTTCCAAGAGGTTTTAACTTTTCAAGAGTTGTAGAGAAAAATGCAGAGACATTTTGGAAGAAAACAGTTGCTATGTAATTTTCATAAGATAAGGGCTTGCAGTGAATTTATCATAAGCTTGAGATTGCATTGACACTTGATTATAAAAAAATCATCAAAGAAAAGGAATAAACTTTGAAAACTCTGCATTGTGAAAATTGCAAAACTGCCAATATCGGTGTACACCTAAAGTTTTATCTTTGTATGAAATTACATAAGGGTATCATTTCTACATTGGCATTTCATTTTACAAAATAATATCAGTTTTGTCTTGAAAGTAACTATTTTTTACAAGTCTATCATTTTATTGAGCATTTTACTTACTCCATCTTTGGACATCATTTTGACACCCTGATGTGCTTGCCTTCGGGCTGAACTAAATACATTGCATATTCCACAAATTCTTTCTTCTTATTATTGCGAGCTATTGTTCTTATAGTTCCATTCGTTGCTGGCTTCTATTTCCTACTCCAAGAAAAAATTCAACCCTTTTTCCATCAATTAATTTTTTTCCTTGTTGATTCAATTTTCTTTGTTCAATTGTCTCTTTGAAAAGAACTGTTAGTTCATCTGAGCTGTGATGATTTGTGTTTATTGCAATATATTATTAATAATAATAAATACAATAATAACAACAATAATTTTTAACTTTTAATGTACAAAATTAAATATTCAGAAGTAATGATGCTAAAATGACACTCTCATAGCTAAACATTATTACAGTATTTTAATTTCTCTTCTCTATGTTTCAGCCAACTATAAATACTGATATGATGTGGAATTATGTCTGTGTAATTTTGACTTTATGCTTATGAATTAAATTCTGGCAATTTTTCACAACAAAATTAAATATTTAATTAAAAAAGTGGCAGGTTATAAATATTAAAAGTGAAATAAATTAGAAAACCAAGTTTTTAGTTATACAACAATATATTGTTTATGCACAAACCAGCTGAAAACAAAGGTGTCAAAGCAACACCCTAGTAGCCATTCTTTCATTCATTAATAGAAAATGTTTAATTAACTTTTGCATGCTTGTGTCATAGAGTTATGAACTACACACTGGTACATCTCTATTCAGTAGCTAATGTGGGAGAGGGTGCGGGTAGTTTCCTAATTTGGTTTTTATGTAGAAAAATTTTTTTTATAATTTTGTCTTTGTGGTGAGATGTAGAATGCATACCGATGTGGATTTTTTCTATTCCATCTCTTGCCAAATGCACTCTCCAGGCTTTGAACCAAGAGACACAGCCTCATTGTTCAGTGCACTGTGAAACAAAATATCTGCAACATTTTTATTCTTTTTCATGTTATGTTTCACTTTCTACAATACCATTCATTTGTGATTTTCTCTTTACTTCTCATTCTAAAATATTGGTCAGAGAGCTGAGGAAATTTGTGAAGGATAACAAGAATATATCTACTGATATAAAAGAGTTATTGAAGAATAAAACATGCCTCATTTCCAGGTAATATCGAAATTAATTAAAGAAATAACATATCGGGAAGTGATACTATTGGTTAGATAACCTGAATCAATTATATAAATATTCCCGTTTAATTCAATAGTAATCGAACTGTTTCATGAGTAATGCAGTGTGATGGAACTTAAATTTTTTTGAAAGTGAAGGGAAAAACAAACAAAAATTATATTTTACTTGTGTTTGAATCATTTGAAATCTTACGGAATTCAATATTTAGTCAAAAAGACTAACATAACTCTTATTTGCTAGCACTTCTCTTTCTATTGCTTTTCTGCCTGCAGAAGTGGTGGTGGTGGTGGTGGTGGTGTTTTCGTTTTTTCTCTTCTTTTTTCATTTCTTTTCCTTCAGTACGTGCTTACAAGATGATGAACATGTGGTGTCTGTTGATTCTGCACCTAGATGTTTATCTGCAGTGGATAGAAAACACACATTTAGGTTTAATGACATGTCCATAATGACGATATTTCCCCTTATTAAAGTTCTTCTTTTGAAGCAATAAGACTGAAAATTAATTTATATTGGGATATATAGAGGAGGTAAAGGGGATTATATGAACTTAAAAGTTTAGATAAGGTAGTTAAGTAGCATACGCATTTGGGAGCTTGTATTGTAAATCATTTCGAAGTTTTTCCAAAGTCTGTTAGTGATGCAGTTTTAAGGTACAAGTCACTAATGTCTTATCATTTTTCTCCATTTTAATTTATGGGTATTAAAATGTGTTTTGTATTAATATGTATTTTACTAATGGAGTAATGTGTTCTCTACAGGAGCGAAAGTTGGTTGACATGCCTTGGCATAACAAGCAGAGCGAGGAGGAGAGTCCATCATACAAGAATGCCCCAAACCGACGCACACCCATTCGGGGTGAGTAATACACCATTACCTTGCCTCTTGTAAGCAGCAGGAGCTTCGAGACAAGACAGTGTTTTTGTGCTTATGCTTTCAAGCACAGTGGTTTTAATAAGGGTGTCTGGATTTTTCTCTCTTCTCTCTTTGTTTTGGGATTATCCAGACATGCCGGATAACACTATTAAGGTGTGTAATCTCTGATGTTAATATTACAGAGATGATCTCTTGCAAGTCCCTATCCTTCGTAATCGTATTAATAGTGTTGCCAGCATAAAATTTGGAAAATATTTTTGCTGAGACCTATTAAAACACTATTGATGTTTCTTTCTGTGGAAAAGTGCAAGAAAATTTGTCGAATTTTACATCACAAAAATACTGTCTCTCATTGTAAGTACCAGAATTTGTTTCATTTTTGCAGTAATTTGTAAGTTAATGTATATTGGGTAAAACTGTTTTTTAATCTTCATGACGGGTTTCATCTTTTTGTCATGAGATATGAAATAATTTGTGCACTCATGAATTATTCTTTCATAGTTGGTGGGAATGTGTGATATGTTCTTGTGAGTGAAACAAATATTAAATCAAAGAGAATCACATTTACAACAGTAAATATGTATGGAAATCTAAATTAAGATTCATTGGGTGTGATGGTGCATGGGTGAGAAAAAAAACAACTAAACCTGTCACCATTTGATAACATACGTCGAAATATTCTTGAAAATTGATCAGGAAGATTGAAAAAATTCTGGAGACCTGATTTCATGAAGCAAGGAATGGAAGATTTTAACAATTCTTCAAGATTGGCGCTGCTCACCAAGGAAGAGAATAGCTGTGGTGCTGAATCCTACTCTAGTATAGTTGTATTAATGTAATATAACTGTGTAATAATGATGTAAATATATCAAAATGTATGTTAATGTATTATGTACAAAGTATGTAAAGCAATATGTAATAAATATATAATATCCTTATAACCTTGATTCCCTTGCAGCTCACAAGGCATGAAGAGAGTTGTCAGAAGAAACAACTTACGAAACTCGTCGAGAGAAAAAAAAATTGTTTTCCAACTTTGTCAGAGAATTCGTGTTTTAGGGCGTGAGAACCAACCGTGGTTTAGAATCGTGTTAGAATATTCGTAAGGGCTACACTTTCATCGAGATGACACTGAAGAAGCCATGTATTTATGCCTGAATTCCTAATTGATGATAATGTAGGTAAAGGACAAGTTTGAAACAAAATGTGTGACATCTGGATGTATTGTGATTGCAGGGCTACAGTTTTTCATATCGGTCACCGCGTGGTACTGCAAGCTGTGCAATGCTTGGATTGGTGATCTTCATTGTGCCTCTCTGCATTTGAAGTCGAAGACTCATGGTGACAATTATGCAGTAAGTTTCATAAATAATAAGTAAAACCCTGTTTTTACATTCCCATATTTTACGTTTTCCCAGCTTTTACAGAATTTCTTCTCAGTTTTTGTATGATCATGATGTTATAATTACCCTGCTTTTACGTTAGTTTAATTTCAATTTTCCTGCAATTTTCAACAGTCTACTTACCATCTGGAAATCACTATGCTTTGCACGGAATACACACTGTTACTGGTTTTTCCCGACACCTTGTTTTAAAAAAGCACAAGTGCAAAGAACAAGCGCCAGAGGCCCAGCTAGTTTTTGCTGAAATGCTAAGCGAATATAAAATAATTTTTGGAAAGTGCTAGCTTCTGGAAGTACGTTGTGGCCAAAACGAAGCATTACAAAGTTTGAAACAACAGTACCTCGAAAAATTCAGAGTAGAAAAGAGCGATGGCTAATTAAGATAGAAGATATGCAATATGAAAACGCCTCTGGAAGTAAACTCTGATAAAAATCGTACCAACCATACATTGTTCTTTTCGATTCAGTAAAGATTCTAATATTCTAAAATACAAGAATCTCGCCGTATCGTTTAAATTTTTTTAGTCCGCTGCAACTGCATATCAGCACATGGCCAATTTAACCCTACTTTTCAAATGCAAGTATGCTACTAAGGTCCCTCCGAAATTTTGGAGCAAGTGCTCAATCTAGAGTAAATGCTTATCTTTATTGACACCAAACTTTTGAGTGATTCTGAGCTTTTGCTTGCCAGTTGAGAGTACGCTCTGAGACAGAGCTAGTTCTCACCCACTTGCTTCTCAGTTTCGTATGAATAATCTCCAAAATTTGGAACAAAGAGGAATTGCTTACTTTTATTCATCCCACCCAATAAGCACTAATTATATTGATTTTTTTTAAATTATAGAAAATAAATTTGTACATCTCTGTACTGAATTTCTGAAAAAGTTTGAAAAATGCTGCTTCACCCCTGAGTTTCAAGTTATCGGTTAGTAAACAGTAAATAACAAGATATATTTCTTATGTTTTCCATACTGATGTTAACTTTAAACTGCATTCAGTTTAAATTCTTGACTATCCGGGAGACGCCGCGTTGTTGGCTGGGAGGCCGACATTTCGCCTGACATGTCGCAGGCTTCCTCAGGGCAGTGAAGGAAGCTTGCGACATGTCAGGCGAAACGTGGGCCTCCCAGACAACGACGCAGCCTCTCCTCTCCTGGATAGCCGAGAATTTATGGATTCGAGCCATGGAAGCTTACGTGTACATGAATTCCTTTTGCCCTCTTCAGCCATTTCTTAGCATGGCAAGAATTATTTTCGCTTTATTTCTTGGCCTTTTGCAGGAAGTCTTGCATCACAAAGACCCCTTTTTACAATTGATAGGATATTTCAACTTCATTCGACTTTGGTCAATTGCTCAAGCCATTACTAGTGTTTCTTCTATTCCTCTTGGCGTTTTGAATCAATTTTTGGTGCATACGAGAACTCGGTTTGGATTTTCAAGCACATTTCCCCTTGCATGTTAATAATGTTAATAATAGATTTTCAACACCTTGCCATCATCAATCTATTGAAATACACAAATATAGCAAAAATGTAAAATGATCAATCATTTGCCCAAGAACAAATAAAGCAAATTTCATACAGGCAGAATAAAAATTTGCTAGATACATGTGAAACCAAATTGTTTTTATTAAAAGGACTTTCATAGTCACTTTTTTGTTGATTGACCTTGGAATGTAGTTCTAAATTTGAGATGGCTAAGACATTCACTTCTATATTAGACAACTAAAGGCTTGACCAAAACATAAAAAATTAATATCATACAAATGTACATTTTATTGAAATTTGTTTAAAAGCATCTTTCAAGTCTTTAAAATGCATTAATAACAGCAATTTTATGAAGGATGTTCTAAGCTGTTATGTCTTGATAATCTCAAAATTAGTTAATATAAGCCATAAAATATCCTGTGGGAATTAACCCTGTTGCACTTTCATTAGTAAAAGTAGTTAAAGCACTCGTGGTGATCTCGTGGATGCATCGTCTTCATTTCAGCTGATTTTGTTTGACAACTAACTTCTGGGTGTTTCAGGTCCAAACATTTATTAACACATTTTCTGACATTAATAGTAATAATAAATTGTAAAGTAAAATAAATTGCAAGAGTTCCAATATGTATGCGGCATGCTACATAGAACACTAAGATATAAGACTTTATGTTAAAACATAGAAAACACATTATGTTAAAATTTTCATAAAACAATGGCAACACCAGTAGTCCTGTATAGGAGCAAAAATTGGATTCTCTCTCAAAAAGAATAAATGAATATTTAAGCTACTGAGATGAAATTTTTAATAGGCTACCTAAACAAGTGCTGCAGTACAATCCAACAGGAAGAAGTGTAGGAAGACCATGCAGAAGATTGTTTGATATGTGAAGACGGAACAGTCAGCCGCCTAATCCCTGAAGTGCAGAAGAAGGAGAAAGCAAGATCAGCAATATTTGGAGGAGAAAAAATAAATCGACATTTTTGTTTCCAAGTTATAGAAAACGTATTTACATCGGTAAATGAAATGCAGATATGAGTTTTCTGCATTGCTAACAAAATAGTAACTCGCCCTTACCTCTAGTCCTACCCCTACAATCATATGATGCCAATCTAGTCACCCATTGGGTTTTTCTCATTCAGTTTTTCTTTTGTTGGTGCCACAGGGCAAAACTAACTGGTTGCAGCATCCATACTGAATGTCCAAAATCCTATTTATTATAAATAGTTTTTAATTATTGCAAATTACATTGTGTAAAAGGTTACCACCACGATCTTGTGACTTTCTAGTAATATACTAAGTTTGGTTACCATCCTCGGGTCATATGTGAGGGGGAAAAGTGGGTAGCAATTTTTAAAGCATACACAAAATCATAAAATAAAATAGAGAATTATAAATGGTTATATTCATTAAAAAAGATACAGGACTATAAAATGAAATATTTTCTTTGAAAACCATCGCTCGGTTTTTAAAAAACAATTTGTTATGGTTTATTAGACATTTTCTAGTTAACACTAGAAATGTATCTTATAAATATCTTTCAAATTGAAAGGAAACACACGTGTTTAAATTGTACACATAGAAAACTGAAAACATACACAGTAAAAGAAAATTTCTCTCACTTGAAGATGAGATTTCTCTTCACTATAGTGAGGAGTACAAATATTTCTGTTTCTTACGTTAAATGGTATTTGTAAGAAAACACTTGGCCAAGGTAGAAGCCTTACAATCACAAGTGAGGGACTTTTAAATTTGAAAATTACTTACAAAGTCGGTTCACATTTTAAAAATGGAATGTCCCTTCTTTTGCTCAGTTTTTGATCAGAATGAAGCAATGGAATTTAATAGGAAATTTGAAAAATGCTTTTCTAACTATAGTCTTCTTGTGTATACCCAGAGCTTCACGGAGCAAAATCCACACTGGGAAACTGATTGGCTGGCTGATCGTGAGCGTGCATATGAGCGGCGCTCAGAAGATCAGAGACGACGTGGAGGTGCCGCAAGCGTGATGCAAGGAGAGTCTATGACAGACCAGCTTCCACTTGCACTACATGGTTCTTCCAAGGCTGCGGTAAGGATGAATTTTTGATTCAATTTTCATTAGTCAGTGTTTCAACTTCAATTGTTGTTGTCAACAATTTCAAAAATATGTAAAGGTGTATATTTGTGATGATTATTTTAATATATATAGGTGAATTAATGGCTAAAATTACTTCTTGCTCTTTTTTATCATTATTATTATTATTATTATTATTATGATGATTATTATTATTAATAAAATAAAGCATAGCAAAAATGCTTTTGCTTGTGCATATTAAAATGAAATTAAAATTTCAATAAGAAATAGGAAGTTAAGAAAGGACGGATAGCAGTATGAAAATCTAATTCATCTATGTGGGATGCTTTCTTAACTACATCATCCTAATTTGGCAAATGGGGTATAGATAACTGAAATACGTTCCGATATATGTCTGAATAACACACATTAATGTGTTAATTGTTTGTAATGTCTTGAAATCCTGCCTTATAAAATGACGTGTTTAGGCGGCAGTGGCTGAAGAGAAGAGCAGCAGTCACCACCACCGCCATCACAAGGAGCATCGCAAGAAGGACAAGAAGAAGAGCAAGGGTGGCGGCGATGAGGAGGTAGCTGTGCTGGGTCCAGCGGCTGCCGCTGATAAAAAGGCGAAGAAGAAACGCAAAAAGCAACGGAAGAAGCAGCGCAAGGGCCGGAAGCCTCGCGACTCTTCGGACAGTTCATCGAGCTCCACATCCACCTCGAGCTCAACAAGTAGCAGCAGTGAGGACGAGGAGGAAGAGGACGAGGAGGGTGGCGGTAGGGATTGCAATGATACACAATTGATAATTTGGAGGAACTTTTTCTCAGAATATTTGAGAATAATCACTCCAAGTTGAGACTTCTTTGGTTTAAAATAAAGGATTCAGAGGTATTCAAGGCAGGGGAAGCTGAGTAACTAGCTAAAAAAGAGAAAAGTGTGGTTGGTCCAAGATTTTGGGATTCCACAGAATGTCGTCTCCAGAACTTTCTCAAAGCATTTATAAACCCTTTTTTTGAACAAATATGATTACTGTTTGAACAAATATGTTGCTTCTGCAGGTGGTGGCAGATTTGTGAAGGCACGTGATGTGTCTGCAGGGGTGACTTCAGCGACAGTGGCTGGTGGCCTGCCGTTTGATCGCACGAAGAGCATCCGCATAGCCATGCGCAGCAAGGACAAGTTGTCGATGCTGCACCACATAGCGGCTGTAGCTGCTGAGGGGCGCTCTGCAAGCAGCGAGGCAGCGATTGCAGCTGCTCAGGCCAGCAAGTGGGAGTCGCCGCCACCAGCGCCACCTCCACCACAAGCAGACAGCAAGGATCATGAATCGCGTGAAACTGCCAAGGAGGCCCATGCAAAAGCCTCATCGGCTGCTAGTCTTGCAGGCAAGTGGATCTTACCAATCAGAATTTTGTCGCTCAGCGGGGATATGTATTATGGTACATATTAGCGCTTCAGAGCAGGGTGTTTCAACTCAAAAATTACGCAATGTAGATAATTCAACCAAACCCTTTACATGTAATGTGCTTGCAGCTCATGTAGAACTGAAAATATGTAGAAGTAATCATGAACAAACTCAATTACACAAGTCTTTTGAAACTAAGAAATACTCAAATTTCATTAACGTTAACTCTGTATTTTATTCATTAGTAGACATTAGTACATACAAATTACTAGTACAAAGTTAATTTCCGTATAATATGAGAATTTTTTTCACACATGCAACAAACATTATTTTCTCGGTGTTTTGTAGTGAAGCAAACACTCTGAACTTGTCTTGTGTGAAGTGACACTGCTCCTGAATTAAAGAGGGTGGTCACCTGAATTGCGTATTATGATGCGGTGATAAATGTGGTTTGAAGCTTGGTATGTTCTCTGTGTCCATCATAAACATTATTTGTAACTACTTCTAGAAGAATTATCATCCAAAAGGTCTTGAGGAGAAACAAAAATAAATCTCTTTTATTTATTTATTTATTTTTTTTAAATATTATATTATAGAAATTTTGTTACAAAAACTCATCTTTAATTTCCATAAAATATTAATATATCCAGGTTACACTAGTCACAGACAAATTCTGAGGAATGTACTGTAGTGAAATTTAGTTTCACACAAGTTTTAATTAGTAGAAACCTTGCCCATGCTAATTGAAAAGTAGGAAGATTATGTGGTTATATGGAAAAGAGATTCTGTCCTGGAGGATTTAGCATTATGTAATTGTGTGATTTAGCATTATGCTTAGCTATGAAGCTTTAGAATATTATAAAATATTTTCATTTTTAAACATTTAAACATGGAGGATTTCTATCCATTATGCCATTTTAATGTTCACAAATCAGCCGCAGCAATACCAGAAAACTAGCAGATGAGCTTTGCACTATTACCATGTTCTAAAATTGATCACCAGATACTTGCAACCTACTATGCTAATTGTGGTGAACCATTAGCTGATGTATGAATGTTCAAGTTTGAAACTAAACAGAAAAGTAAAGAAATGTGGATTAACAATTAAGTTTTGTGTATGACACCGGGTTTAAATGAACTTTATTAACTGAAGAGAAATAGGTGTTGAGTGATTCACACTAGGGAAATAATAGTTCTCCCTTGTGAATAAAACTTTACTTAAACCCCTTGCTATATAAATAATCCTCCTTCTTTTCTAAGTGCATCTGCTGTTATAATCTTTTAATGTTCTTTTATTTGTATCTATTTCTGGTATTTGTATTGTTTAGTACCTTTACTGAGTAAACAATTTTATTAATTTGAACAATGAGAATGACAGTGTTAAACCAAATCATACCTTTTTAAGTATTTCTGAATTGATCTGCTAAAAAATTATAGGGCTTAAATTTTATGCAGTAAAGTTCGTAAAAGTAATTTTCTTCATATTTATAACATTTTGTAAAACGTTTTGGAACCTTTACTATGCCTATAAACTGCGATCCAAAAATTATATAAAAGTACCAAATTACAACCCTTTGTGAAAGAAAGCATAGTGCATTTTCTTCAATGAGATTAATGTCACAACTCCATTTATAAGAATTTGAAACACTTGGTAACCTTCCACGTGGTAACTACATTTCTTGGAACCCTAATATTTCTGGCTGTGATGTACATTATCCTCAGGACAGTATTTATTGATAGCTTCTTCCTAGTGTACAATCAGTCTCAAGTCAACCACAAGACTTATGAATGGACACAAACTTTTTTTTGTTTGCTAGGGCTTTTTCCAGTTACCCTTTACGTGCAGAGGGGTCATGTATTCGACCACACACTAGACATCAACACACTTTGTAGGCTTCTCTGAACTGGGGTTAGCAGAATGCGAGGCCCTCCACGACAACACCTACGAGAGAGACAAGTGACAAACGACCATTCCCAAGGCAGGACAGGAACTCGAGACCGTTTGAACCGAGGCACTCTCTTAGCCATCCATGTTGGCAGATGGATACAAATTGCCAGTTCTTAATGTGTCATTATTTTAAAATGGCAGCAAGATTTGATGCATATTTCTGATTTGTAACAGTAGTGTGTCTAAATCCCAAATATTGTTACCAACTCCTTGAATAAACACCTTTTGCGAAGGCCTCCCATTCAACTGCGATGTCCTGTGATAAGCAGAAATGAAACATGAATGAAATCCACTCCCTTATGGGAGTGACTGAAAAGTTTTGTGCGTTTTTCAACACCGAATTGCATGGAAATTACATGAAATGTACATATGTGATCCTAAGGTTTTAAACTTTAATTGATGTTCTATTACACTCTGAGAGCTTTTACAAACATAAAGGATCATCCTGTCAATGAAGCAGCCTTATTTTTCAATTTTCTTTAATTTCCTATTCATTTTTCTCGTGCTCTATTGTCATTCGTTGACATTTCATTCAGTCAGTTGAGTTTTACTACATGGATGCCCGGTTGTGTCTTCACAGGGAAGGCCTCCTCAGCAAATGGAGGCATGACGCTGGTATCGTCAGCTGATGACGACAAGCTGCTGAAGGAGTGGGCGGCACCTCTCCGTGATGTGGTGTCAGAGGGTGAACGCCAGTTGCTGAACAACATCAAGGAGCGGGTCAAGCAGAAGCAAGAAGCAGAGAAGGAGCGTGACCGTGGTGCTCTGGCAGCGCAGGTAGCTTACTGATTCACTTTCTGCAATAACAAACAGCTGTTGAATGAATTTCCTAGTACAAAAACGTGCGCAAATATTAGAACTGAAATGTGTTGTGTAAAATGGGAATATTTTTGTGATACTTTTGAGTAGAATCAGAGGCACAAGGATATAAAGTTGTGTGGCATATTTCTGGAAAACTGGGGGCAATATGAGAAATGTTTAAAGACATCGTTGAACATGAATGAAATAGTGAGAGTGTAGGCTTCCGCGGCCGGAGTCAGTATTTACTAGGCTGTCCGGGTGACGCCGCGTCCATGGCGAAGGTGCCTCGTCATGCCTTAACATGCTACGCGTAATGGTTACGCCCTGAGGGAAGTCGCAGAAAGGCGACCGAAACGTCGGCACCTTCGCCATGGACGCGAGGCGTCACCGGAACAGCCTAGTAAATAATGAATGAAATAACATTATAAACATGGTAAAACCATTATGGACATGTGAGCCTGGTGTGAACCTGATGCAGGCGGAGCCAGGCTGCAGCCGGCGCAGCGGCGCGCAGCGGCAGCGCCAGCTCGGGGCGGCCGCGCAGGCGGAGAAGGAGCTGCGGCAGCGGAGAAGGAGGCGGACGCGCGCGGAGCCGGGAGCGGACCGCGAAGCCGGGAGCGCGGGGCGAGCGCGGCGAGCGCGAGCGGGACCGGGACCGCGAGCGGTTAGGCGCGGCTCGAGCGGGCGAGCGGGGCGAGGCGGGAGCGCGGGGAACGCCGATCGAGGCGGAACGCTGCAGCGCACCGCTACGCGCACTACGGCGGCGGCGGCTTAACTACGAGGACCGCGGCGCGGCGGGGCGCATTGCGCGCGCGCGCCAGCGAGTCCCCGCCCCCACGGGCTACTACCCGCGCCAAGGGCCCGCGGGCGCGGCGGGGACCGGCCGGTGGGGCGGGCGCCCCTTCGACCCGCGCCACGGCGGGCGCGACTCCAGCGACAGGTGAGTGCAGGCTGCGGCTGACGAGGTGACAAAAAGGTGCTCAGAGATGTGTTACACTTAAACATGATTTAAACTTGAATGTTGATGTGAATTAGCTATTATGGTGTCGTCCAACCGGGAACTTCAATGACACCTGGAGGCGTGGAGTTGTGACGTTTAAGCTCCCGATTGGATGATACCGTAACAGCTGATCAAATGCCAACAGACTTAAATAATAAATCGAGGTATAGTTGTCTGGTGAGCTATTGTGCAGTATTAAGTTGAAGACTTCAGCTGATGAGCTTGACGCAATAGTTTGCTTCCCAATAGTAGTGAGAATTTTAAATGCAGCCAAACAAAAAAATACAGATTTACGAAGCATATTTTTAAATACTGCTTCTTTTATTTCAATTCCAACCTCCACGTTATTTTTTGTTGGAAATAGTCACTTTATGGCACTTTCAAAATGTTTCTCAACGCTACTTGCTTTCATAACGCACGGTGAGCAGCGTCTAGTCTGTCTGGCTTTTCAAACGAAACATGGTGATGACGTAAACTGGGACTAGCAGAATGAGCAAAAATTGGTACACACGACTAGCTTGTCCATCATGGTTGTCTGTTCCTCTCAATGCTTCAGGATTCGTAAGAATGCTCTCTGTAAAATCTTTGTTGCTCTTATTTCTTTCATTTTGATTCTTCGATTTTAATGTGTGGAAATCATAAGCAATGCATTTAGTGTAGATTTATGATTAATCTGTTAAGTAGAAATTATTTCTGAAGTACGGGAGATCAATGTCTTTAAGATAGGACAATTCCTGCCCCTTGCCCCTGTCAATTTGCACCCTGTGGAAGAGAAAAACGATTGTTCATGTAGTGTTCAATTCCATGATGCACCCATGTACACAAAATTTTCATTCACCCTTTGATTTTCAAGTATTAAGTCACACATCTTGTATTGTGTGCACTACTTTCCACATGATCATGATCAATAAAATTTGTTTGTCTCCTTTGTGCACAATTTTTTTGTGTTTATTTAATTTTTGGAAAAATTGGATTTAAAAGCTTTGTACTATGATAGGATAGTGTCATTGTGACCATAAATTTATTTTTATTAGTCAGTCCCTGGTGAAAGAAAGACTTCCCAACCCTCCTTGAAGCGCACTCTAGTGCATATACAATTTAAGAAACCAACTTTGGTCATAGAGGGTGCTAAACCAGACAATAAGCATTCGTATTGTGGCATAACCTCAAACTAACTCGTAGAAATGCAAGAGCAGTGAATCAGAACAGTGACAAAATGTCAAGTTTGTGTACATAGATACCTCTGAAATTATCTTGGGAATCATTTGATCCTTGCATAAGTTATTTAACAACATGAGTGGCCTCGTGTCTGGTGACAGCACGACTGTGCTTGCCTACACATAAGCTCTCAGGCATGGAAATTTTCCATGCGTTCTGAGCAATCGGAGGGTGAATGTATACTGGGATTTATTTAACCGTTCATTTGACGTAAATCTGGTGTTCATGGTTTCATCCAGTCGGGAGCTTGAACGTCCCCAAAGTGACATCTCTAGCGATATATAAGCTCCCGGTTAGGAGCTTATATGCAGTTTACCGCAAAGGCTGATTTACGTCAAGTGCACGACTAAATGAATCATACGGTCGAGATGAGCGCCTTCCACACGTGTCCCGTGCGCGCTTGTGTGTTTGCAGGTACTCGGGCGACCGCTACTACGAGCGGCGGCGTGGGTCGCCGCCTCCGCCCCCGCCGCCGCCGGAGCGGGGCGAGCGCGAGCGCGAGCGGGAGAAGCGGCGCCAGGCGGAGCGCGAGAGCCGGGCGGCGGCCGCAGCAGCCGCGGCTGCCGCCGCAGCCGCCGCCAACGCTTCCCCGCCGGGGCCCCCGCACCGCAAGGAGCCCCTCCCGGAGCCCAAGCGCCGGCCCGCGCGCTCCTCCTCCGAGGTGAGGGGCCGTTTGTTGACTGCAGTGGGAAAGTCAGGGAACGTGGAGAAGCAGCGTTAGAAATATGGGGGACATTTTGAGTCGGTTATATAATTTATTCCTTAAAGAATTAGTGTAACAAAAAATATTGACTCGATTTTTCAGTGTGGAGTTATTTTTAAAATCATACTGTCCTGGTGAAATCAGAGAGCTTATATCAGAATTGTTTGAAATTTTTTAAAAATAAATAGGATGAAATTACACATCAGTAAAAAATGAAAGAAAATACATTGGAAAAGTAAGGGAAATTTGTTCCAGGAAATGAGTCGCCACCAAAATTACCTGTCGTTGCCCGGACATTCTTCTTATCCCATCCGTGTTAAAAAGGGAAAAGGTGTATTTTATATAAGCTACAGTGTTTAAGATTATTACTTTTAATGTAACTTGTTAAAATTTTAATAAGATACTATAATTTTCTTTCATTTTATTGTAGAGTACATTGCTCTTTGATTAAAAATCTTTATCTTACTCTCCCTACTGACCTCGAGTGGAATATATTGGGAACTGATCTGCCCTTAGCGACAGGTGGAAAATAATGATTGTGTTGCATCTACAGACACATTATTTAAGTTACTTATTTTCCTCATTTGTGTTGTGTTAATCTTTGGCGAACTTTGTAAGGTCACTGAGACAATCCTGAAGAAAAACCTGTAAACATTTTATATTAACTTTCCTTTACTTTCGTTACCCTTTTTTGTGCTATCAATGTGGTAACTTGTCATTGAATTCACTTTTATTAGTATAGATTGAAGTGTGATTAATCCTTAACTTTTCAATATCCTCTTCCTCCGCTACCCTTGCGTTCACTTTCCTTCAAGCACTCCCTTTCTCAACCGATTCTTGCTCTTTCCTTCAACTTCTGTTTGTCTGCATCATCTAACTGTAGCTGCGATAAATGTTCAAGGAGACTTGGTCCTCTCGCTTCGCCTCTTGCTCTCCTTCCCACTCTCTGAACCACTTTTCTTTTCACAATACTGCATAATCTTATTACCCTCCATTTTTGAACCAAGAGAATCAAAATCAAAACACCTGGCAATATCACAATCAAACATGATAGTCCCTTCCAAATCTGCACTCTACACACACAATAATAAATCACTATCCTGTTCAGCTCCACCTGTAAATGAATGACTTACAAAAAATACACCACCACAATGTTCACTCGTAATATATATTAGTTTCTGGTTCATGTGATGCGAATCAAGCTTCCTTTCACCAGTATTAAATTGGCTTTCACACTATTCGATTGGACAAATGTGTCCTTACCCTTCAAGATAATACTCTTTCCTCAGGTCCCTGTTCTGGGTGACAATTTTTTATGTGACTGAACTTTGCCTGAAGTGAAATGTTCGGGAACCCTTCCACTGGTAGGTGGAAGTCAGTAATTGAGACCACATGTAACACTAACATTATTCAGATTTTCAAATAACTTGTGATCTTTTTGGACAAAAAAACTGATCACACACTTCATTAATCATAAACCAAATCACACTTCGATTGATCATTAATTACTTTTCCCAAACAATTACATGCTTTAGTACTCCACCAAAAATAATTTTCAGTTCTGGTGTCATTACTTTACATTTGGCTATTAATTCTAATTTTACCTTTCATAATGGGATCTCATATGATAATTACAGGCTATGTTTTAACACTTGACTATGCTCGTTAAACAGGCTTTCTAATTATGCATTGGTAACAACACTTCAACTCAAAATTAACATTTACATTCCCTTTCACCCCTTTTTACACTAGATTTACACAAGTCTCCTCCAAAATAAGTTCTTATTCAAATATTTACAGGTTTTTCTATTTAAAAGATGCATGGTTGTCATCAATTTTATTTCTTATTTATCTCTTAATTTTCTCCATGTTAACCAATCTAGTTAGCATAAATGGACAATTGTTCAATTACATTCATTTTTAAGTTTAATATTCTGCAGTATTATTTCCACATAATTCGTAATTTTAAGAAACCAAAAAACGTTTACTGAAATCACCACAATATGCAGATTACAGTGCCGTTCAGTAAAATATTCTATTCTCGTAGCATACTCATCAATGAATTTTAGACTGCTTCACTTATTTGTAGCACTACTTAGAAAAACACTAGCCTCACTATGTTTTACCTATGTATGACTACAATGCTTGCTCTTTAGTATAACATGAGTCCGCTCTGGACTGCTGCAGATTTCAGAAAAAAAGGCTGAATTCCTCTCATCCGCTAGTTAATTTTTTCCACCTGCTCTACTCACCCCTCTGTAATGTAGGAAGGCCTCCCCTAACTAGCCAGGTGGCTGACACTGACACTCCTGAACGAGCCTTGATTTGTGCGGCAATTTAAATCGTGTTGTCGTGGTCCCCCTTAGGACCCACACATCAGTTACGTCTCAAAATATGTGCCGAGAAAATGTCACATCACTTAAATGAATAAATACAATGTTTATTAGAATTGTTACATAACACATGAATACAAAAAGAACACAGAAAGAAAGCTATCTTCAACAAGTGGCAACTGTTTCTCTTTGCTGCTTGTAATTTTGCTGCACACACACCTCTCCATACTGTCTGCTCTTGCTCGAAAGTGCCCTGTGAAGCACCTCGCGTGCCATTTATCTCCTCTGCAGTAAACTTGAAATCTGTGCTCTTTCTCTCACATACATTTGTAATGGTCCAAGATTCAATCGTCAAGGAACTTCTGAAGTAAATTTTGTCTTGAGAAATAAAGGATACCCCCAGATAAGAGAGGAGACTAAAAAGTTCCCAAAAATAAAATGTCAGTTGAGTAGTTAAACTATGGCTAACATAAAAATAAGATCTGTGAAACCTTTCTTAGCTCTTCCCTTTCCACAAACCTCATCCCTCTACAGCCAAAACATGTTTTCTTACTTACTTTTTTTTTTTTGCCAACAGGAAATTAACCTTTCCAAAATTTGAAAAGTAATAAAATAATTTTGACCATCAGAAAAACTTTTTTGTTATTTTTTAGTTCAAATGAATTTTTTATTATTATTTAAAAGATTATTTTTTTTATTTTAGAACAAAGGAACACGGAAGTTTTAAATCACCAGTGTTTGTGAATGTTTTCAATTGCTGGGCTCTAAATAAAAAAACTATTGAGATTATTGGATTTTCAGTAATTTCTGCAATTTATTTTAAATTTTTATTATTGGCAAATTTATTCATTGTGCATTTTCTACACTCGAGGAGGAGGAGGACGGAGAAAACCTAGAGAGCAAGTTTGAGAAGCAGACAGCGGAAGCTGCGTCCCGTCAGCGACGGCAGGGTGGCACTAAGGCACCTGTGCTTACCCTTCCCAAGGCGAAGCTGCCCTTCATTGGCCGCATGCCCATCCTGAAGAAGCTGGCCAAGAAGAAGGAAGATGAGGGCAAAGAGGGGGATGGCGCAGAAGGCGGCGAGGAACAGCAACAGCTGGTGATGCAGGCGAAGCTTCAGGAGATGGAGGACGAGGAAGCAGCAGAGGTAAGCAGATATAAGGATGGGTAAGATAACTAAAAAAGAGACCACTTTGACAGCTTCAGTGTGGCCACTGCTATCATCTCCATTAATTTAATACATTGTTAATGTTGAAACAATCCCGCACTTGCATTAAAAAAAATAAAACATCAACTTTGTTTTTGCCGGCCAATTAACATTAGTTTCTTCGAGTCCCATTTTATTCTTATGCGGTTGACAAATGCAACTTTCATCCACATTGTCCTGCTGCACTGATGCCATATTGCTCTATTTCTTCTATCCTAATTCGTGTTCTCATCCACTTACGTACATGCACACATACACTTAACATGTATTACACAGCCACAGATGCTTGGAGACCTTTCGGAAGCTCAGATCTTGTCCTGGCTGGGGCAGTGCCCCAGTGGTGGGAGATGCCTGGATGGGGAACAGTTCCCTGCAAGCTGACATGTAGTTTGGTGCCATTTCTAGCCTTCCAGCGGAAGATCACTGCCACATCCTGCGATAAAAATACACTACTCTTATGAGACTGATGACCTTTGTAGTTGATTTGCTCGGTATCACTAATCAGTCAATCTCAAACCAACATTGGGAATCAGCTTTGAACTCTGCTGATCATGTTTAAAGTGAGCTCTTGGCAGTCCCTCATTCCACCATTTCATCATTGTCACTATTGCTATCTTACACTTATAAGATCATTATCCAGGAGCTCCTGTGACAAGAGTGGAAGAGCCCCCAAACTTCAATAAATAAATATATAAATAAATAAATGAATGAATGAACAAATAAACAAACACAAACAAACAAGCACAAACACAAACACAAACAAATAAATAAATAAATCATTTGTGTCATTCACAGGGTGAGGGCAAGGCAGGTGAGGAGGAAGAGGATGATGGGCGAACGGAGGAGGAGCGTGAACGTGATAGGCTGCGGGAGCGACAGCGCGCTCGCATGGCGGCACTGAGTGATGGCGTACCTGGCATGGAAGACGAGGAGGAAGAGGAAGAGGATGGCGGCATGAGCACGATGCATCACCGCCCTCCAGCTCCTGTCAATGCCGAGCCACAGGTGATTGTGGGATGCAAATACGCAGGGGAGAGGCTAGAAAAGGAAAGAGAGTTTGGAATTTCACGTGCTATCCAGCTGCTTTTGTGTAATTGACATGAGCAGAGATTTATTAGTAGTACAATTACAGAAATGAATAATGGTTGGTAAAATATAAGTAAAGGTGAATGGGACATATTATGAAATGATTGCACTGATAATGATTATAACAAAGAAAGGCTAATGATTAAATATAGCAGTTATGGATATTAGAAATTATGTATATGTTGATTAAAATTAGTCCCCGGTTTCAAGTAGTTGAGTGAAGATTCAATTGTTTGTTTCGTTGTATTATTTACTAGCAATCTGACTTTCCGAGATTATGGTTTGCTCCTAAGCTTCTAAGGGCTCCTAAGAGCTTCAACTTTTTTGATTTCTTCACATTTTCGCCTAGCAGCATGGGACTACGTAAGTTATACAAATTTAAAAAAATTGTTTGGTATGAAGTGGAATGTTGTGGGAAGAATCTGTGGGCTGACCATAATCAACTTTGCAAAAACTTAACACTGATACTCTTGAGGGAAGGGGTTCACAGATCTGTTTTGCATTTGAGGAATTCTGGATAAAAGGGACCATAAAAGATTTAGGGAAAAAAAAATTGACCTCTAGATTAAATTATAGTTTTAATTTGAAAGCCCTTTGTTCACGAACTCCGTTTTGTATATACATTATTGACATGATGAGTGGAGATTTTTAAATTGTGTACACAGGATATGGAAATCGATGAAGACGAAGAGGACGCAGGCATGACTGCTGCCGAAGCCATGATGGGTGATGAGGCTGTAGTAGCAACCATGTCTTCGCCAATTGTCGCAATGGCACCTGCTGTAATGGCTGGACCCCCTCCCCAGGTGCAGCAGGTCCCTCCTCCGCAGGTTCAACTGCAGATGCAACAGCCACCGCCTCCTGCGTCTCAGCCCTTTGACGCTGCGGAGTCAGTGACCCCAGCGGCTGGTACACCTGGAGCTCCTGGCTCTCCTAAAAAACCTTCAGACATCCCACTGCCTAAAGACTTCCAGGTGAAAATTTAATTTACTTATTTACTTGTAATTCTAAGCCATGGTAATCATGTTTAGTCTGCTTTATAGCATTTATGTGTATGCTTGCACTCGTGTTCATGCTAATCCACAAAGTACAATATGCAACAGTATTTAATTTCTTTTTATTGAAAAGAGCCAAGAAATGCATTGCATTCAAAACTATGTTTCGAAAAGCAATTAAGGTACTTCAGTAAATTTTGTCTAAAGAATGTGATAGAATTTTGAAACAAAATGGAAAATGAGTTCCAGAACATTTGATTTTTACTTTGTAAAACAGTTCCATAAACTGGAAATGAAATTCTTATTCATAAAGTGTAACTATGTGAACATATGACAAAAAGCATTTCGTCACTCCATTTCTAACACAAATTAATAACAAAAATGGGCAGTTATACTCATTTTGAAATTGATTTATATTGTTATCAGTATTACACAGATAATTTTATAGAGAATTATTTTATTATTTATTCAGTTCTGTCAGATTGAGAAACATCAATGAATTTTACAGTGGAGTTGGTATAAGATATAATGCGCAATGCATGTCCACTTCTTGAAATATAATATCAGATTTATATTAGATTGACACATAGCATTGAATTACACAATGCAATTAGTATCTTTTATCCTTTTATATCAGGTATTAATAAACTGCTATTCCGACTCAAGAATATTCTTGTTAGATAAATCAGCTGTGCAATACACATTTGCACTATCAAAACACTATTTGAGTCGTAGAATTACAGTATAGAGATACAATGTGTTTATGGATTGAATCAAGAAAAAGGAAACGGCATTATCAAGAGGCAGTAAAGTGGACTATTGCTTAAGAGATTGTTTCCATGGGAATTAAAGTTTTCCAACTATGAAAGCAAACCTGTTATTGTATTTCATGATTATCCCATTTAATAACAAAACAAATGAACAATTTCACATATTTAATGTGCTATGTTACTCTAAATTTGGTCTCATTACATCTGTTTATTAATTGTTAGAATATATCTGTCTACTTCTCAGCTGGGGTTGGGGTAGAGTGATATTGCCTCTCACTTGGACAGAAGACACTTGGTTGTTTTTGCATCAAATCATGATGAGAGCACACAGTAGTAGGCAACACGGAACCACACACAACGCATTACCAAACAAGTAACAGCACTCTTAGCCATTTGGCACGCTCGGTGCTCTTAAATTTTCAGTTGATTCACACTGTAAGATTTAATTTTTTCTTAGTGAGCATCTGCAGCTCTGTACTGACATCACAATTTGAAGCCACTGATTGGATAACGGAACCACCACCCTTTCCCTTGTCAATATTATTTCAGCATATTCATTTGTACGTACATATGAATTATGGAGAGATAGATGTAACCTAATCATTTGTTGCAGGATGCTCTGAATATTCTCTTCCCGAGTCAGACTGAGGGTGAAGATGGGGTAGTAAAACCTCCTGGTGTAGAAAGGGAATCTTCGAAGACCATAGACGATGATGACTCTCCCAGCAAGCTGGCAGCAGCTGCTGCCAATGTAGCTTCTGCAGCTGGCATGTGGGTGGCCCCTCCAGGCATGCGAATGCCACCTCCAGGGCAGCTAATGCAACCTCCGCCTCACATGACGGGCTATGCCATGCCTCCCCCAACCAATTACCAGATGAACTATCCATCCCAGACCATGTATGGACCTCCGCCTCCAGGCAGCATGATGCCTCAGATGACGGCACCACCACCTTACGGAATGATGGCTGGCCCGCCGCGCATGGGCATGGGGCAGCCTCCGCCAATGCCCATGGGCCAACCCCCAATGCCACCCCCTCCGGGCACGCCAAATGTAGAAGAAGAAGTGACCATGACGGCGGAAGAGGAACAGCAGATCATGCAGCAGCAAATGCTTCCTGAGCATATAGAGGAAGCCCAGGCACAACAGGAAGAAATGGAGAGGGAAGCTGCAGCGGCCGCCGCAGCTGCGGCTGCAGCAGCAGCTTCTCAATCTCCCCCTAGGAAAACAGAGCCTTCTGGCCAGATGACTGATGATGATTTGGCAATGTTGGGAATAGACGCTGAAGACATGGCTGCGCAAAGCTTTTAATTTTAATTTTTTTCTGTGCAGTTGTTATTAACATTATTGGTGATTATGAGGGTGTGTATCAAAGGATTACATTGTAGGTTCAAGAGACTTGAAATAAATACATTTAAAAGTGCTCCGCTGTGTGTCTGGGAACTTGGTGCTCTGTATGTCAAGTCAATAGATGAATGTTTTTCTGAGGAGAGCAAGATTACCTGAGTGTGAGTTAAGTGACATGTTTTGTGAATGGAAAGATGACAGGTTTTGTGAGTGGAAAGAGAGTTCAGAATTGATTGAAAAACCTGGGTCATTATGTCAGTGTTACAAAACTTATTTTGCTGGACACCATACATTTTTGATGTCTTCTTGTTATGATTTGTTTATCTTATATGTCTCCAAATTTGGCATAAAGTTGGTTCAGACAAATTTTAAAATAATTTGAATTTCATTTGAATTTAAATAAATTCGCATAATTGTTTTTTATGGGGAAAAAACTCCTTCAGACACAATGTAAAATGAGTTTGAAATTCAATGTCAGTATTTTATTAGAAAAATGTACTAGTTTAATCATTAAGTTGATTGATTGGCATTGTAAACTATAATTCTTATTAAAAACTGATACAAACTCTAATTCCAGTTTAAATACTTATATATTTATATTTCTGTATTAAATCTATAAATGTTCTTTAACCATCTGTTCAGTAGACTAATTCTCATAATTGCTTATGAAATTCATTCTGCTAATACATGACTATATTCCCACATGTTCTATTTTAAAGGCATGGATTTCATATTTCCTACATTTATAAAAACACGTCGATAAAAATTTGTTGGAATTAAATCATATTCTGCTTTTAGAGCTGTTGCACTTTCGTGCTAATGGACATGTTGGAAAGTCCAGAATTTCATTTTGGAAGTCTCATTTGAAAAAGGATCATTTGGCTTAGACTTTATGATCAAAGTAACAATCACAAAAATGGATTTTTACTTTTTCATAAACATTTTGCAATTGTACAAAAGATGCAATTTACTTGAGGCTCATTCAGCAAATTTTCTTTTTTCAGTTCTGGTATGTTTTCTTTACTTTTGTAGATAGATCCAGTACACTTTGTGATACATGTGCAAATTTCTTTTAAAAAATTTTAAATCACAGATTTTAACACTTTACTCTCAAAGGATATGTGTGACATGCCACCAATGAAAGCACTGGGATCAGATGTTAGTGCACTGCGAGGTCCCACAACTAATAAGGCATCTCTTAAGATGACAACAGAAAATGGCAGCACAGCTCGTAGTAGATAGTTTGCATTCCCCCATTCCAGCTCGTAACTGATTTTGGCAGTCACGGAAGACTATTTTCAACCAATATAAAATTGTTTTTATGCACCATTTATATGGAATCAATACTTTATTAAAAGAATATTTCACAACTATTGTACTGATATTAAAGTAAGAAATGTTTTCTATAAAATAATAAGGTTCATTATTTTGGAATTTAATAGGCATGTGTTGCGAAGTAAAAAACACAATTCTCTAATTTTTAAAGATGTTTTATTTGCTAAATTACTAAGCTAGTGTCTTCTAATTGGTTTGTATTTGTAAATTATCCTAATCACTCATTTTAAAATCACGTGACTACTGCAAGATTACACGTACACACAAACACCATGAGCAATTTCAAATCAGCAAAATGTCAAGTGTATGATAATCCTATAATGTTATTATGTAAACATTATGTTAAAATAGATACTTAGACTGGATTGGTTTAACGATGCAAATTTTATTTTACATACCAGGAAAATTCATGAGTTTTACAGAGATGTCCTACAAGTCAAGTAGGGATTTTGGTGCGTCATCTTAAAGATGCCCTACGAGTTGTGAGTAATGTCACATTATATACCATTACAAGCTGGTAGTAATTTTTTTCGTGTCATCTGAGATACCTTACGAGCTGTAGGATATGTATTATGCTCGTTGGACACGAGTGCAAATGGTTAAGGATTTTTCAGAATTCTTGTGCCTTGATAATATTTATATTTTTTACGCTTTTCAGATTCTTTATGACTGCATGGGCATTTTTAATTCTTTAGGACCGCTGCCAAATAACTATTTTTTATGAATTTGAATTACTGAACTTAAAAAGTAAGAAAACACAATTAATACATGGTTGAGAGATTAAGCAAAATTAACTTCAAATGTCATCACTCAAACTTTATTTCAAACCTCTAACTCAAACATAAGTGATTCTTATAGTTGTACACACCAGTTTTAATAGAGCACTTATTAAATTGATTCATTTGATACCAAGGGTATTTATTTCTTGATGTTTTTGCTTCACAGATAACTTCAAACACCTCAAGCCAGAATACCTTGTGTTTGTTAGCTGCCCTCCTGGCATTTACTTACTGGCCTTGATACATAACTATTATCATTTCATCATAATGATCTCTTGAAGGTTCTCAAAATATTTGTGCAATTGAACCAATACTTCCTCCATATGAGCTTAGTAGATTGTTTTGTTGCTGGCGGATGGAATGTTCAAACATTATTACATTAGCTGTACAAAATTTTTGCTACGTATTATCTATTTTAAGTCCTTTGTTCAGTATCAGTATTGTGGTATAACTAACCATGGAAATTAAAATGTGTTCTTTATGAATGGAAATGTTTTCTAAGTATAATGTTCTTTGGCAGTTGTATCTTCATTTGTAAGGGCTTAGCTTGGCGCATTTAAATAGAGATTTTATTTCATACTACCATGGCAATGAATAATTTTCAACTTATTAGAAAGCAAATATTGTTAGTTACGTAGAGTATATGGTTCTAATGTCATGGATGTTAAAGCATTAAGATTCGGGCTAATGTGTGCCATACTCAGTTTTGGTTTTTGAGAGAAGAGATTTTAGAGAAGGGGTTGAAATATTTGTACTTTGTTTTAATAAAATTAATATAAAAATTTCCCATTACGAACATATTCCTTGGGAAAGCCTGCTGTATTTTGAATACACGTACAATACTAGTTTGAATACGTATTGACAAAACTAGTTCAGGCATACACAGCAGTATTGATGAAAGATTATTAATGTAAGATTTTGAAAGGAATACAGGCTTATTTTTATTTTTTAATTAGGATAATATAATATTAGGGTTTAATTTGACTAAAAAATCTTAAGAAGTTTAACTCCATTACTCAACATTACATTTATAAGCGTTTCGTTCCCATCATCGCTAAGGGCTATAATTTATGTGAGGAAATATTGTTAAATATGTAATTTCCACCAGTTCGTAAATAGACAAATTAACACAAACGTCCGGTATTCCTGTCACTTTTTGCTCGCGCAATTGAATGTAACAGTGTTGCAAACTAATGATGGATGGGAACAACTACTTGTTTAGCTCCAATGATTCAGAATTTTTGTGGCAAATGTCCATTTATATTACAACTTAGTGCAATTTTATCTCGTTCCATAGAATGTGCTGGCAGAGTGGACTGGCATAAACTACGTCCGTGACTGTATTTCCCTGATGACAGATAAACTAGTGAAAAGTTGGCAAGGACGGCCTTCCATTTCGTCACGACGCACCTGGCGGAGATACATCAAAGCAGCAGGTGACGTTTACTTGGCGTCCGTAAGCAAAGTCACAGGAGAGGATATTGTATGACTTTAACCTCAAAATGTTGCCAAGTTTGTGAGTATTTCTGGTGAAATCGGATATTAGACGTTAACGCCTATCTGTCAGGTGACCATCAGATTGATCTTTGAGGCACGAAGCTCCCTGCGATGAAGTGATTTTATTAAGGTTCACGGGTTGAACCGAAATTTTAAGTTTAACCTCAAACTAATATAGTGTCTAAATTAAAGAGAATATTGATATACACACTCTCAACGCATGCGGCTCATTACTTTAAATATGCTACAAGAGGAATGTGAAAGCATAAAAGTTGCTGTAGAGCAGGGGAGAACCGACATAATTCGATCGGTTTTAGAAGCATGTAAGTATTGCTTTTTTATTGTTATTATAATATACGATCATTTATTATTGTATGCTCAAATTAAGTAACACATAATAAGGAAGTTTGTTTTAGTAAGTTTAACTTATGATAAGGAAAGAGTGCAAGTGCGCTGTAGTATATTTGTATATAGTTTGCCGGTGTCTTTTTATTTTGTGTGCGTTCTCGGCATTTTTCGTGTACCCTACTATATGATGTACGTTTAATGGATAATGAAGGGTAAAGAGGATTACAAACCTGCGCAATGTTTGTTTTAGGTGATAACAACACCAAGGAAAGAATCTTAAACCATCCACTGTCAGAAGAAGGAACATTCCTGTTTCTAGCAACAAAGGTGACTATTACCTCAGTATTATTAGGTTTCAGTTTGATTTTTAATATATTGTGAATTGTTTTCAATTTGTAAGGAGTTGTATAATTTGTTGTTATTTGACATATTTATATGAAACTATAACTTACATTCCAGAGTAATTTATAAAATATTAATTTCTGAACTTCGTATCTTCATCAAAACTGTAGGTGATTTGCATATTTTTGTTATTTTACAGTTTTCTTTTCTCAGTGAAATTGAATTTTTGATTGCCTTCATTAGTTCCTCAGCTGTTTGGCTATTTTAATGGTGTCCATGAAATTACAATGTTCAAAGTGTGTAATTCTGCAAAGGAAGATTTATTTGAAAAATAATTAACCATTCGCAGTACTTCAACAATTGAATGTATTTCACTTTGTGATTTTATTCTAAAAAGTTGTGATTAATGAATTTGTACTTTTTATCAGGCTTGTAGAGCCCTATCTTAATCCATAATATTAGAATTTTTATTTTATATTAGTATTTTAGCAAATATCATATGGATTTTGAACCTTTGAAATGGAAGAGAGCACATTCAAAGAGAACACCCAACTTTAGTTTGTTTATGTTGTTATTGAGAATGTTTGATAAGTGTTTTTTTGTGACTAATTATGTTCCAAGCAGCAGTTTTTATAAGTATGTGAGACAGGAAACCTTATATTGCCTTCAGATAATTGCCTTTTGGGGGGGGGGGGGAGAATATTATTTTTCTAAAGCCAAAAGTCACATGAATTTCTGTTCTCTCAAAATGTACATGCATTTTTTATGACAGTGTACAAACATTTTAGAGTTTTATTAGTTATCACTCAGTATTACAATTTAATTGTTTCATTTTAACAAGATTATATTAAAATTATTTAATAATTTACCATTCTGAAGAAATCTACAAAGTTTTGACATTAATATACATTGTATTTTTATTATTATGACCATTAACTAATATATTACTCTCTCAGAATTTATAATTACTAGTAACCAATGTTATTATTTTTTTCTTATATACTTAAATATAAGAAGTCTGCTTTTATGTATTATTTTGAGTACATAATCTGGGATTCCAAAACTTTTCTGAAGTATCAAAAAGAGTTTCGATGAGAAATTCAGTGTGCAAATTAAGACATTGAACAAAATTGGTTTTTGCCATTTGCCAAACAAAATAAAAAGAACATGTGGTAAATTTTGATGAACTTTTTTGGAGAGAAAATTACATAGTTTAAGATATACCTTTATATGATTCTATTCTAATTTTTTCTAAATTAGTTTTGTAATATATAATATGAGTAACATTTCATTTGATTTTATTACAAGACTTTGTTACTTTGCTATTGCCGTTTATGTGAATCATTAGACTACTTGCCAAGTTGTAAAATGTCTCAAATTCCTTAAAACCTTGAAGTTTTAGGATTTATAGCAGTGGTGATAGTCTAACAGTATAATATATTTACATTTGCGATGTATCTTTTAACTTTTCTCAGCTTAATCAAGGTGACGTTGTGCGAACATTGCTGTCTTGTGGTGCGGATCCTGGAGTTCAGAACGACCGAATGATGAACGCTGTTGATGCAGCCACCACTCCACAGATGCGCCAGATTTATGTCGAAGAGTTATTGCGAGCAACAGCAAATTCAGAGTTAGTATATATTTTTGAATGAAATGTTTGTGAAGAACAGTTTTTGTGTCATGGCAAGTGCATTTACCTCATTGTGTAGTACACTAGAGGGTATTGATATCATTCCGTCCTTCATACAATAGGCTTTACAAATTAAGGTTCAGTGTCTAAAATCATTTTTCATTCAATCAAGGAAAGAAATATAGCATTGCAACTACCAGGTTGTATCAAAAGTGCAAATGTTGAATATGAAACAAAGAAATATTGTGATAATGCTGATGACTAGGGTATAATAGAATAGAATTCCATTTGGAACCTATTTTAATTTTTACGAGAATGATAAATATAGATATGCTAACCATTTACTTTTTCTTCTTATGAAATTAAAAAGTTAGAAATATTTGTTTTTGTAATAAATCAGTGGGCAAGGCACATTTTTGATGCTACTTATATTTTTGCTGTGACTTTGCTGTTATTATTTATCATCAATATTTAAAATTAATTTAACATTCAATGATTTGTGCTTTGAAATTAACAATTAACTTTTAAAATGACTTGTGAAAACATGAAATCACTGAGTTGCAAAAAAGTGTTATTGAATATTTTTCTTGAGGTGCATTTGTCTTAGACTCTATAAGCATGTTCTTTCATTACATATTTATTTTTGTTTGATATTTCTTAGTTTAACAGGAACTTAATAAATACATTTCATGTCTTAAATATCTGTCTCAAAATGTGAAGTGTTGGGAATGTTGTTTTTTTGATTCTCCTATTTGAGAATAATTAAGAGTATGTAAGAGATTTTACATTTTAGACCTTTATGTAGCAAAAGCTGAAAAATTTTGTCCTCGAGAACTTTCTGTTAAGGTGATGGCATCAGACATTTTTTTTGGTTGAGAATTCGAAAAATATAGATTTTTGCTTACTGTGTTTTTTTATTGTCTCCATACCTACCGTTTTCATGTTTTGGATGTGTAATGCAATCGTTTAAAGGTCCATACATAAGCACACTCCCTTTAAGGCTTGGAAGTGTCATTTTCTGAACTATTTTCTATGATTCTGATGAAGACTTGCAAATTACAAACTAGAAATATCTGAACCTTGCCAAACACCTGGTTTAAAATACATTGTAGCAAAATGGAGAGCCAAGAAAGTTGCAAAATTCAATCAGTTTGTTTGAATTTTCTAGCAGCGAAGTGTAAGATGAAAACAAACACTGTCAAAACAGCTTTTTTGATGTAGCCATTAATATACATATAATCAAATATTTTACAAATCAAGGGAAAAAATCATATTGGTATTTGCAATATTTTTAATAAAATAATCAATAAGCATCAGAACAAACGAGGAGTTAAATGTTGTTTAGAGTGTAGGCTTTTATGACTGGAGTGAGTAAGTACCCGGCTGTCTGAGAGACACTGTGCCCTAGGCACGGGAGCCAACATTTCTGCCGCCATTCTTTGATCTTCCCTAGGATGAAATGCCTCTTGTTGCAAGGATTATTTAATATTTTCCAAACTACCATGAGATGGCATTGCTGTTTGCAGCATTTAATTGCTCGAGAAATTTACTATGAGATATGTCACCTTTCTTAATTTTACAACCCCATTGTAAGCTGGGAACCCCATCAACTGGCCATATTGCCCTGAGGAAGGTTGCTGAATGGCAGCCAAAACTTTGGCACCTGTGCCTAAGATGTGGCATCTTGTGAACAGCCAGGTAATTACATGTTTTTTGTCTACATGGGGAGTGAAGTTTGAGCAAAGATTAGGTTGTCGGGGTCATCACTAATAGTTTCAAACGTTATTAAACCCCCTTTGCCCCCTAGCAGATCTTAGGTGGCTTTGATGGTGTAACAGCGTATCTGACTATTATACCCTACTTCTTGGTTTTGATACCAGTTCGAAGCTGTGAATTTTTAAGGGTGAAAAAATTCTTCAAAGTCCTTCCTTTGGAGGGGTAGTAAAGCCAGGAGTCCCATGCCGGATCAATTGGGGAATATCCATTTTGCAGGAAATCAGCTGAACAGTTTAGCCTCTAGCGTTGTTTGCAGACAGATGTTTTGCCGTCTTTTGATTTTTCAGTATCAAGGGCCCACAAAAGATGAATTCTGCCAACACGTGTTAGAGGACTTTTTTCCTAAATTTAGCAACTGAGGAGGTTTTTGCCAAAATTCACGCAGCATTACATAACTTTCTTTCTACTGTATAAGCAGTACTGAGAAAGTAAAAATGAAAATGGTCTTGCCAGGCTACACAACCATTTTATATTATTAAAGCAAGCCATACATAAAAAAATAAAACAAAATTGAAAATAAATATTTATTTGATTTACTCTACATTACGTGACCTTGGCATGCCACATGTGACCGTGTAATTACATGAGCTGCAGGTTGGTTACCCCCAGATCCAGATTTTTATTCTAGTATGTGCTCCCACATCTTGTTTCATAGTTCCTTACTTTTTAACTTTTTCAAAAAGCTGCTGCTGCTGTTGTTTCAATATCTACTTTTGTTTGACAGGGTTGGAAGAGTATGCCAACTAATTGCAGCTGGCATAAGTATTAATGCCTGGGATAGTGAAGAAAGCAAGAATACACCCCTCCATTGGGCAGCATGTTATGGCAATCAAGATATCGTTGTGTGCTTACTTGGTAATTAACATTTATTACAAAAAAGTTATGTTCAAAAAGTGGAAGTTGGATAATACAAAAAGTAAACAAATTTTAATTCTGACATTACTAAAATATTTTTTGGAAAGTCTATCTTTAAACATTCAATGTTTCTTTTTACTGTTTTTGCACTATAAAATTGGTATAATATTTTATACAATTTTAAGTTGTGAGTTGAATTAAAACTTTTAGAACTGTATTAAGAAAATGGTAATAATAAGTGCAGTCTGAAGTATTTATTGGTCTTGAAGTTAATGTTTTCTTTTCAATATGCTGTGCTTGCATGATTTATTGGGTAGATTCTGTGAACTTTGTATTGTTTTACAGTAATAAACATTTTTTTATTTAATGCACGTCTCAACAAATAACAAAAATATTTGAAGTACCACCAGCAAATGCAATAAAAACAAACTTATTAAAAACAGTGTTGTCCAGAAATTTCTAACAGTTGAATGTAAATTTAGGTTAACATGGCTTTCTGGGTATTAAGAGGCTAATGCTTACATTTACCTACATAAGTAAGATAACATTGATGAAATAGTCAGCAATTTGCTGTGTTTTTAGAAAATTTTGCAAAAAACAACTAGATTCTTGTTATTTGGAATCTATTTTTTCATCTGTTTAGAATCTGCTTTGAAGTGAAGGTTTGTGGAGGTTTATGAAATTAATTGTACCACAATGTAATAACTTGCACATGAAGACTTATTAAACAAATAAATGGCCACTGATATGGATATTATTGAGCCTTTAGTAATGAATTGTTATTGCCATTCGATCGAGGAAGATATTAACTGTCAGGAACAGTGAAATTTTGTAGTCTTATCCTCCCAGATGTTTTGAAGGTAGTGAACGAGCCAGTTGTTCTACCCATTTAACTGGAGGCTATAAATGTGCGTTAGAGGAATTATTGTTGCAACACTCCCCCTTTCCCTCTCATTTGATCTTAAGTACCCTACTTTTCAAGTACTTCTATTTATGTTTTTAGTGTTGTTTTTAATCTTTTTAGGCTATTTATTTATTTGAATTGATACGCTAACATCACGTGCACGTAGGCTTCCGCGACTCGAGTCCATTACTTCTAGCCTGTCCCCATGGCGCCGCGTCATTGGCAGATAGGCTGACGTTTCGCCTGTCATGTCGCAGGCTTCTTCGGGGTAGTGACAACGTCGTCTGTACCCTGAAGAAGCCTGCAACATGACAGGTGAAACGTCGGCCTATCTGCCAACAACGCGGCACCACCTGGACAGCCTAGAAGTAACGCTAACATCACGTTCAAAGAAAATTATTTTCCATTAAGGTGTGTTACCATTGAATAAATGTTTTGGGAACCACTTAATACAGACATCGGTAAAACTTAATGTTTATAAAACAATCTTTATTTTTTACAATGCGTTTTATACATTTTGATTTTTTAATTCTAAATGTTTTTTAGATAATTGTTATAACTTTTATTGTCTGAAAAACTTGTTATCTTATTAATTGTCGATTAGGTTTATTTATGTTAATTAGTTGATAAACAACTAACTTCAATTTTTAGAAATTTGCCTGATTGACATGAGGCTACAAATTCTATTAAACAGACCCCCAACATGTCAACATGTTGAGGGTCTCATGAATAAGATGAAACTTTTTTGTTTTTTTGACAACAAAAGTCATGAGTTATCTGAAAAACATTCCAAATTAGGAAATCAAAATGCTACATAACACAAAAGAAGTAGTTGAATAAACATTAAATTGGTTTTACTGGAATACTGTTGTAACAAAAATATTTTTTTTAATGAAGCTAAAATTAAAATTTTACTATGTAGTAGTCCCATCATTTTTTCTATATATTAAAATAAATATTTTTCTCTGATATTTACCTACTGCATCTTTCTGACAGATGATTGCAGATAATGCAGAGATATCACTGTTTTATGGAAAGAGGTTTTAATGAAATAGTCGCCCATTTTCATAAATTAGGAAACCAAGGGAGATATACATATTTTCATATAAGATGCAAAACGATATTCCTTATTCCGGATTAATAGGAAGTGAATAAAGTTGTAGGAAAATTAAATTGCATTCTTATACAAAAGGTTTTTTGCATTACATTAGTGGTCCAGAAAAGAGATGCCGTGTTGACACAATTTGATTTTGGAAGTTTTTAGATAATGAATGTCATGGATTATCTGAAAATTCCAAATTAGGAAATCAAAATGCCATACAAGAAAAAAAAGGAAGTTGATTGTTATATAAACAATCAATTTTACAAACATCTGTATATATTGGTTCCAAAAATATTAATGCAAAAAAGACTTTTAAAAGATTCCAAAAATACACATGAATAACCTTGTTCCTAATTTAGAGAGGGTCATATACTCCAGAAGATCTTATTTCAAACCACTGTCTATCAACTATATTTGTGTGATGGTTTACAGATCGCGGTGCAGATGTGAATGCCATGAATGCCTGTGGTGCTACCCCCCTACACGATGCTGTGTTCCGTGGTGATGTTGATGTTGCTCGGGCCCTTTTGCAGAGTGGAGCAAACCCTCTTATTCAAGCCCTTAAAGGGTGTGTGCTGAGTTTTCATTCATTGACACTTGAAGAAACTTTGCAAAAGCAACTTCCAAAATAGAAATATTCAAGGAGTAGTTCAAAAATATGTTGAATATATGGATTTTATAGAAATTGATAATGAATTTAAGGAATAATAATGCTGACAATCGTTTGGAGAACAGTACTTTTGTTTTGGGATATGTGATGTTTTACACTCCCAAAATCATTTTGGTAATAATTCCCTAGTGTCATACAGATGCTGCCTTGACAAATCTCATGTTGTGATTGAAAATATTTTTCTTTTTCTCTGTGTAAGTGAATTTGCTACTCAATGTTTATAGATAGTGCTTCATCAGTGGTGGAAGTAGTCTAGATATGAAAGAATATATTCACAAACATCATTTAATTAAAAGTTGTTTGTGAATATATTTTAATTGTTTGCTTTTGCAGTTTTTGAACAGTATATCACTAAAAACATGAGGAAACCTAATATATGTGTGACTTTCAACTCACAGTAAATGTTATGAAGGAAAAAACTGTTTATATGACGAATATTTTTTTAAAATTTATTTTGTTATTAAATCATGTGAAAAGATACTGAATTCCATCATAGTGTCCAATTTAAATTACTTTTAACAACAATTGAATGTTAATACCATTTTATTTCACTATCTATTGTGGTTAGGTCAAAAATTATTAAACTTGTTTATTTTAGACTGTACTCGGTAAAATTAACTTTTTAGTTTTATCTTAAGCATAAATTTGTATTTGACATTTTTAATTTCAAAACCACCATGTTTGACTTAATTGTTGCCCCCTGGATATTAACTCAAAAGAAGTCACAAGAGATATTTTGGATCGCAAGTTATTGTATGTCTCTCATAGGTTTGTTCATGAATTTTTGACACATTTATAATTTTTGAGACTTCCTCTCTATATTTTTTTGTGCAAATCCTCTTGCTTGTCAAGTAGCTCCACACTATCTGTCAATTCTTAGAAGTTTTTAAAATCTTGTGTGTATGCTCTTGTTCCAATGTTTCTGTATGTCCTGTTATGCCAGCCAGACAATGTCAAAGAGATCTGGTTGTCGTCATTCATGGAGTCTGTGCAATGAATAAAGGGAATCAAAATTAATGATTTAATACATAAAATAATTTAATACCTAAATAAAGACTATTTTCAAAATGTGTCTCAATAAATTTAAATAATAAATTCATGATTAATTTCATCTAAGATGTAACTTTTGTGTATGTACCAAATTATATTATACAAGATGATAAATACCTAATTGCGATGAAACTTTTTTTGATTCCCTTTTCTCTCGTGTGACCCTCCTGAGTCTTTCTAGCCTGGCTATTAATTGAATTAAAAAAAAAGTTCCAAAAATGAATGCTTTGTTGTTGTTTTTTTGCTCATCAACTTTTCAATCTAAAACAGAAGTCATATGTTATTTGATATGTTCGTAATTCTTCCAGTCATTTCTGTTTCAAGTTCTCCCTCATTCTTAAAAAATGACTTTTTTCTTCTACCAGCCCATGCATAAATTCTTGAGATTTTAATAAATTTGAAGTAATTGCATTACTAATTTTGTCTTAAGATTACTAGGTCAATTTTCTAAGTTGAAATTTCATAAGCGTAGCCTTTATTGAATTCTGGCTATGATTAGAAAGCATGGCTATTATTGACTTCTTTGCTTTGAAACCCTACCCCGACAGAGTGTGCAGCTACTATTATGCCCTTGGCTACAATTGGGTCAAATACAATACCTAATGGTCATGTTATAAAAATAAATTGATGCACTTTGTTGACTGATGGTATAATAAATATTATTTCAGGAAATTTGGTGGAAAGACAGCCTTAGATTTGGCGTCCCACAATCCAAAGGTTTGGACATTAGTGGAAAGCTTTACCAATTACTCAAATCACAACCACAACCACCATGGTAGCAGTGGGGATCGAGTAAGTCATCATAGTGACTCGTTGTCCACTGGTGGGGTGCCAGATGCCGCAGAGCATCGGCGTCGAGGACGGAGTACCTCGGTGGAGTCGTTTGCTAGTGGAGATGCTCCAGAACCAGGCGTGACCTTTCAAGAGAGGATCTCTGCCCACTCAGCTGTAGTCTTCTCTTCGCAAGCCTCATCGCTGGACCTTAGTCCGAGAATCGATCAGGTAAATTTTTTTTTTTTTTTGTTTACAGCAGAAATGGAATGGCTTTTAGAGGGGGAGGTATTATCGTGTAGGAATGTTATGATTTTTTTAGTATTCCATAAGTTTTAACATAGTTAAAGGATTTTATATCCACAATGTCAAATATTTTTGTCTTTGCATTACATGGAAAATATTTTATTGATTTTTTTACAAATGTCTAGTATTTTAATTTTAACTTGATTCCTCTGGATATGTTCATATTTGTTTTCCCTAACAATGCTGCTTGTATACAATATTTTAAAATCGTTTTTAGTTTTTTTGCCTGCACACAGAATAGAGGAAAAGTTTGAATCTTTGATTTTAAATCTATTTTTAATATCGCACACTTAAACAAAGCGCTGTAAGCAGATACAATTCTTTCTTCTCAAATCTATTTATAATGTAAATTACAAGTTTATTATAGATATAATGGAATTACCCTATTCCAATTGTTACGTTGTCCAAAATACGAAGTGACTTTTTTTTTCATATATTTTATGGAACCAGAAATAATTCTTCTTGTTTATCAAAGTCTTCAAATTTTTTGTATTTAAATAATTTTTCCTTTTTTTAAATGATTGTTAGGCAATTGAAAGTTTGGTACGAGCTCACATTCGTGCTCCGGTTCGCCCACTTGTGACCAGACCCGGGTTGCACTTGCTGTGGCCACAGCCTCTTCGCATTGAAGAACTTGGTGGAGCTCCCTTCCTCCCTCGCAAACAACTGGAGATTGCAGTTGTACCTAGTGACACCTCAATCCACAGGTATGTACTACCTTAGAATCCCTCTTAACCATCATCCACAAGGCCAGGATATTACCAGTGCAAAAACTAGTGGTGCTAAACAGGTCCCTACTTTCTTGCATGTATTTTCATACAAAATTACACAGAAAGTACTCAATTTATCAAATATTGTGAATGACCTTACTTGAAATTCTATCTTTACGAAACATATTTCACGAAAGGGGAAAAATTTTGAACTTTTGCAATTTTTGGGGAAATTAGGGTTTTTAACAAACATGAGACGTGCACCATTCTCCTGAACATCCTTCACGCTATCAATCATAAAAATTAATCAAAATGATGGAGTCACTTTTATAAATTTTGGAAAATGTCTCTGGTCCTTCATCTAAAGTACCCCCCAAAATTAAAATATCTGTTTGAAAATCAAGAGGCAAAAATATCAATTTGGGAGAAAATCGGCCGAATGATTTAGCTTCTAGCATTGTTCACAGACGGTAATTTTGTCGCCATTCGATTTTTCAGTACCAAGCACAAATAAGATAGATTTTGTTTTTCTTCTTTTTTCTTTTTCCCTCCTAAATTCAGCCTTTGGGCTTATCCACTTTTTCATTGACATATTTTTTAAAGCCTATTCTCCTTCCACCATCACAGGATATTTATTTTATTTACTTATTGTGACACCATAGGTCAATTACCTGGTAATGTCTGCTGTCTGCTCAATTATAGTACATTTACTGTCATAAAAAAATTGTAATATTACAGTGAATATATTGATGGCCTAATGCACGCACATATTGTATGTCCAGAATTCATGGTTTCCAGAAACCCAGGCTTGAACGTTTGTAAAGGTGCAGTTACTTATGGAGGAACAATGTTTACTTTCTGGGGAGAAGCATGGTTCAGTTATATGGATGTGTTATCATTGTACTCTAGGTAGATATGGACTAGAGGTCCCCAAAAATGATAAAATCAGTCTGAAGTAGAACCTATACAAGCCAGAAACCTACCTTAACCAGAAAGTTTCTCCGGCCCTTGAAGTTAAATGGCATTTAACACTTTACAAAACGGAACCTGTCCAACGTGGAAACAAAATCACGTTCTGCAGGAGGGAATCTTTATAAAATGGAATTTGATGCAGTTGGCAGAGTGACAATAGATACTGTAAATGGAATGAAAGCATCTGCGAGCCTGTTTTAATTTCCCTGTTCCTGTGACATGCGTTTCAGTTGTGGCCACCAGACGGTGAAGGAAAGGGACTTCAGCTGCCAGTGAAGAATTTGACCTTGACGTCGCTTGTCAAGGCATATGCTGTAGGGCAATTCCCTCTTGGTCTTCTGAGCATGAGAAAGTGTACAGGCTCGGCTTCTATTTGAGAGCATAAGCTTCCGCGGCCAGAGTCAGCACAATGCGTCACAGCCCAGAGTACTAAGACTTTCTATTGTGTATCTGGCCAAGGGGTTATGATTCTCAACCTGAGACCAGGAGATGAGCGAATAGAAGCCTTATTTATTAACTTGGCTGTCCAGGTGACGCCGCGTCCATCGCAAAGGTGCCAACGTTTCGGTCGCCATTCTGCCAAGTTAATAAATAAGGCTGCTATTCACTCATCTCCTGGTCTCAGGTTGAGAATCATAACCCCTTGGCCAGATACACGATAGAAAGTCATAGTGCTGTGATGTGATGCATTGTTGACACTTTTAGAGTCAGCAAGAAGTCCACCTGTAGTCACTAGGCAGAGGTGTAGTGTGTACTTATCAGTTTCGTAACTGTTTTTGTGTGGAACTGCAGAGGGGAAAAGAATAACTATAAAGCTGAAATATTAGTTTTTCAACTTCAGTAAAAATTGAAAAGGTGTAAGTGGGAAAAGCAAAAAACTGTAGATGAATGTTTGAAAAAGTAATATTATTTTAGGGCACAGGTGAAGTTTTTCTTTTAATTGTGGTTTGTTTTAAAATTTCAAACTTTTGTTACAGTCACTTCTTTTCTAAAACACACAAACAATAAAGAATTTTAAAACAAACCTCAGTGAGTGCAATGTTTGTTTTTTGTTTTTATTACTCTTAATAGTAAATTAAGTTATGACTCAATTTTTTTCAGTTAATATTAAAATGTCTCTCAAAATGTTCATCTGTTAAGTTACATCTTTGCTGAGACTTCACATTCTTCATTTTTGTGGAAGTCTTTTCAGATCTATAACTTGTACCAAATACTAACAAGCAACTTCTGAAAAAGTTTTAATTTTTTTTTTGATGTCCATTGAGAGTTGGTAGAATTCAGTCAAATTTCTGTCTTGGAATTTGTCCTGCATTGCATCATCAGCTTTATGGTCAATTATTTCCATTTGAGTAGCTACAGGGAGTTGCTTAGTATTACAGAAAACAGATTCTGAAAAACTTTTTCCTCTGGAGTTAACATTGAAGTCAGTGAACCTATTTTTCAACTTCATTTTCAGTTCTAAAAGGATTTCCAAACAAAATTGAAAGAGGAGCTGGAAACTATTTTCACCACTTAGTAACTTACAGGTGGAGAAGTGAGCAAAACTGTGCGCGGCGATGGTGTAATGGTTAGTGTATCGGAATGTTATACTCAAGTTGGCGGGTTCAAACCCGATCACCTCTGAGCTAAATTCAAGTCGCCCGTTTCTCGCCCAAGAAATACCACCTTTCTCTGCTAGTTGGTGAAGGGAGCGTAGCAAAATTTGTGTGGTCAAACGGAAGAGCAGGCCTCATGGCCTGTGTCTCGCCACGTAAAATAAGGCATTAATTCAATTCAATTCAAAAATTTTAGTAGCAAACTCTTTTTTTCTGCCTAAATGTGTGTGTTTAGATCCCATATGAGGTTATTTTCTCCTTAAATTTTTAAAATTAATTTTGTCATGACAAAGTGAGCTGTCTGCAAGTTTTCTCTGGATTTTCCATTTCCTCTAACTCTTATTCCTCCATCATTATTACTCCCATCATCTACACTTTAATTACACATGTGGGCCTTAATGATCTTAGTTAAAAGGGCCCTAAGCCCCAATGAATGAAAAGAATTGCAAAAAATGCAAAAAATAAACACAAATCAAAACAAACGAAACATTTAACAAAAATAAACACACAAAAGCAAATTTAAACAAATAAGAAAATTAAAATAAACTTTTGATTGTATTTAAGAGTGCTGGATGTGTGGGAGGTGTCCCGGCCTGCATTGCTGTCGTTGGGTTACGATGTGAAGGTTAGCGAAGGTCCACCAGGTGGAACAGCCTCAGGTCGACCCGAACCCTGGCCAGCCCATCAAGTAGAGTGCTGGGTATCTGAGGGTCTGGCACCTATGAGGGATTCATATCAAATGCACATCAACTCGGAACGAGTGAGTATTAGTTGTAAGACTGGTCCTAAATCAAATCCAGTTTTAAGTTTCATAATTCTTTTCGATTCCATCATTTTTAACTTAGTGATTCCTATGTTTGCATGAATAAAAACTTTACAAAAATAAGAGCTTGAATGTACACACCATCAACATATTAATTGTAAAATAGTAACACATTTATATGGTATGTTGCAGTTCCACACAACTATGTGGAATTCAACTTCTTTTACCATTTACCACAAAACCCGTCTCATTGTCAAGTTTTGTTTGTTTGTTGAGGCGTTGTGGAATAATTAGTCCAAGTGTGGTTGCCAAGAATCCCTGCCAAAACAGTGCTGCTGAAGAGATGCTTCAACCACTCCCTGAGGATTTTTTGTACCCCACAAATGATGAATATTCAGATTGTTGATGCCATTTCTGATAAAGGTTGATTCATTGGTAAAGAGGACTGAAGCCAGATATTCCATAATTGTGATCTGGTGCAAAAACCATTGACAATTACCTTCTAGAGGGAAATCCGCTGGTGATATTCCTTGCACTTGTTGCAGCTGATAGGGATAATAGCAGTTGTCATGTAAGATACACATAATTGTACTTTGGCTTACACCATGTTGGGGGCCACTTTTCTGGAGCTTGTACTAGAGTTCGTCTCAATATCTTGTAAAACCTGTTCCTGCGGATCTGATGTGTGCACAGACTGCTGCCTCCTTGCACATTTGTCTGAAAGAACCCATGACCACACAAACACCCAAAAATTGTGGGAAAAGTTGTGTGATGTTTTTGGTGCTGTCTCTAAGAGTACTCGTCTTGGGATAGCTCTTGACTGTTTCCATCTACATGGCCGTTCTCAAACACCATCTCAGCGTGTTCTTGAAATGAATACTGGACCATTCTGCTTCTTATAGTGCACTGATTTAATCGCACAGTCTGCAACAAAAAAGAAACACATTACAAGGGGTGAGAGAAAGTAATGTCATTCATCAGTGACCTATATTGATGCATTTTGTTCATCTTCCATGGCGACAGTGCATTTTCAGACATTCATAGGACCTTTTCCCCTCCATTTTGAGTCACAAATCAGTCCCAGCAGTGTGTCAGTTTTAATTTACTCTGTATAATATTGCAGTCAGTTGTGTTCCAAGAAATGAACTCACTAACACCAATCAGTTGCTATAATAGTGGTCGAAATGTGCATTAAAAATGTATATAAATATATATTTTATGAGAGCCTCATGAATCACTGGAGCCTACTGTTTTGTTGTGAAAAAGAATGTCTTAATAATAAATGACATTAAAAATGATAATAACCAGTGTAGGATGCTCTAATTTACCATAGTGTGATTCACAAAGATTTAGTCCTTCTCTTCTTTCTGGTTTTCTTCCAAAGATGGTCATTTCATTGCTTGTAAACCAACGAACGCTGACAAGCACTTACCACCACTGTGGTAAGTGAAAGCCGATTTCGGCTATCTGTGCCCGGAACCCACTATGTCCTTCATGGGCCCACACATTTACCTGCACACTAGACACAGACACACTTGTGCACTCCTCGGTCTGTGGTCAGCAGGCTCACAAGGTCTTCCCAAGCAAAACACTTGCATGAAAGACGAGGGATAAACAACCATGCCCCCGGCGAGCCTCGAACCTCTGACCCCCCCTTCCAACCGCTGCAGCAAGTCGGGACCCCTCTAGCAACCTCAGCACCTCTATCCAAGTCGGCAGAGAGGACGTAGTAATAATGTACGGGGAAAATGCTGATTTTTTTGAAAGTACTTTTCATAAAATAAGTAATAAAATTGACGAATAAAAATATATTTTGTGAAAATACCAAAATATATAAAATATACTATGTAATATAGTACTAAGTATGTAAAAATATGTAATGAAAAAATTGGATATTGCATCAGGATGGTGACGATTCTCCGAGATAAAAATTTTCAGAACAGTATGTAGAAAGACAAAAAATATGTAATTACAATAAAATATGGTCTCAAACAAGCAGTCTCTGAAATATGAAACAAACAGTCTATTCACTGAGAGTTTTATGATTTTTGCATTTTCCCAAAAATTGGCAGTTTTATAGAAACAACAATATCAGTGCATTGAGATCGATTTTTCAAATTTTTGATACTGTTTTTTTAATGACTGTGCAATGAGACAGATGCAGGTCTAGATCAGAGCAGATAGCATGCCTGGATTATATTATGCAGTGTGCACTTTCACACATGTTCTTCTTAGTCTTGGCAAAATGATTTTGAAATGTTGATGGCTTTGTTTTTAGCCTGAGTGTGTTGTGACAAGCGCAGATGAGAGCAGCCAGCCTGGCTAGATTAAATTTTGCAGTGTGTACTGTAAATAATTCATCTGAAACTTGGCAAAATGATTTTGAAATATTTCAAGCTTTGTTTTTTAACTTCTTTTTGTATGTATGTGTGTGTGTGCTGTGACAGGTGCAGATCAGAGCAGACAGCCTGGCTGGATTGCATTATGCAGTGTGCACTCTCACCCAGTTGCTCCGACTGAGCCCTGAACTTGTGCCTGTCCTTATTGAGGACCAGCCTGCCCTTAGTCACCGCGGAATCCTTCTGGACGTGTCACCCAGAGGACGTGTTCCCACAATGGTATTTATATATATTTATTTATTGAATAAACCGCCAGGCAGTCCATTCATACAAAATCTATTCACAAATTAACTAGTAAATAGACGTATACAATCATTATGTATTACAAATTCAATAGAATTACAGTACTTTTCAGATTCTACAAATAAATTCTTTGAACACTTTACTATTTCAGAGTATGATTGACTGGATAAATCAATTGTCAACTGATTGCATAAATTGCTCATTCTTGACTTCAGGTTATTTTCCAAATCAGAGGGATTGTGATGTGGTATCTTAAACATAGCTAACCTCCTAGTATTGGGGGGGGTATCCTGAAGTTGATCAAGGTTTCTCAGAGGCAAGGTTTCCCAGAGATCTAAGTGATGGCACATTAATTTGTTAATTAAACAATTAAACTATATTCTTGATAAATAAATGTATCAGGTAAATGCATTCTCAATGCAATAATTCTAAAAAAGTTATAAGATTTTGTCTCAACCCTTGTGCATTCAGTATTTATATGTGGAAACCATACAACTTATGCAAACATCAGGATTGGTCTCAGAAGTGACATGTAAAGAGATTTAAACACTTTCGTTGAGTTTAAACCCAAGTACATTCTTCTCACAAATCCTATTATTTGATTGGCTTTATTGATTATCAGGTCAATATATCTGTGAAACGTTAATTTGGAGTCAAAAATAATGCCCAAGTCTTTTATAGAGAATACTTTGGGGATAATAGCATATCCGTATTAAATTCCATTAGTGTTCTATATAATATGGAATTGCTCTTCAACTGTCACTATTTCTCTGCCCTCAGTCTCCGTGCCTATGTATTTGTCCATAGAGCATCTTGTATTTCTCATAATCTCTCGCACTCCCTGCTGCCATGCAAATCTGGGACTTTCTCTCTTCTGTCTTTCTTCCAGCATCCATTACAGGACTAGTTTTGGCCATGTTTCATCTGTCATGCACATAACATGACCCTACCAGACAATTTTATTTCTCTATTTCGTCAAGGATAGTTTTCTTTATATCCATTTTCTTTCCTATGTCATTGTTCCTTATTCTGTCACACCGAGTGTAACAACTTCTACGCCCGTCCATTTCAAGGGCCATCAGCTTCCCTCTTGTTCTTTTATCAACCTCCCAAGCTTCTGAACCGCATGTTGTGTGTGGAGGAAAGGTGTCCTTTAGTAGTGTTAGTTATGGTTTTGTTCCATAAGACAGAATTTATACTTCATGTTACATTTCTCCCCAAGCTTATTTGTCTCTCAATCTCTTCTTGCCGATATCCTGTTCTGTTTAAATGAACACCCAAATATATGTATTTGTTTACTCCTTTCATTTTTACTCCATTTTCCAGAAGATCTTCTACCTCACTGTTTTTAACTGCCAGGTGTTCAGATTTGTCAATGTTAGTAGTGAGTTACGCTTTCAAAAAATGTATATCGAGTTTGCATATCATGAAACTCAATTTGTCAGCAATGCCTACAACGGCTGCAATGACTACCTGGCCATCTGCAAAATATAATTTATTTTATGTTGTTTTTTCTTTGTAATTGGGAAGATTCTTAACTAGTTGGAATATAATAAAACAAACTTACCCTTGTGAGAATTCTTGCATATACAAGCTCACTCTATCTTCTCCTTACATCTGTGTGAGGGTCTCAGCAGTATATTGAGCTGACTACCTGTTACTGAGAAGATGCGCACAGTAATTTTCCCTTCACTCACTTTGGAATGCTGTCACACCCAATCAAGAGTTAATGTTTGAAGGGTTAATAGTATTCAAGTTAAAACATGACCCCTCCTTGACACAGTGTTGGGATAACCAGAAGACCCAAACCTCTTGTTACAGTGGTGTGCAGTCTCATGATATCAAGAAACAGACCATTAAGCAGTCCAAGTGTTGTAGTTGTGCTAATCCCCCTGTTTCATTTGCTCTTTCAAAATTGAATACCTACTACCATCAAGTACCAAAATTAGAAGATTGCTCCCTGTTATTTGAAAATCAGTTTAGTTGATGTTTAAGTTCGTAGGAAAGTAAGACTGATTACATTATTTGGAAGGTTGTGCAGATCCTTCTACAGGGTATTGAATTTTCATTTCTTATTCATAATTTTGGCTTAATTTTTTAACGATCCTTTGTAAAAAGACCAGATTGTTTTTTAGACTATTAATTTTTTTCTTGCTCACTGTGTTGCAGGATTATTTGTTCCACATGATTAATCTCTGGTCCTCAATGAAAATGAATTATTTACACCTCTACACTCGGTTATTGCCTGGACCTGACTATCAGTTGTGTTTCTCTGGCCGGTGAGTATTTATGTTGTGAAGCAATTTCCCTAAATATTAGTGAGATATAGGTAGTACACAAAACACAAAAAATATGACAAGCTTTAGAAACGAACTCCCTCCAGGGGAAATTACAGGATCAAAAAAAAACCAACAACAACGGAGAATGAAAATACATAGAGATGTAATAAATGGAATAGAATGCAAGAGACTGCTGTGGCATGGGCACCTAAGAAGAATGGAAGAGGTCTGATGGCCACTGATAATATGGACACCAGCTGAAAGAACAAAAAGAAGCAGACCAAGGAAAACTTCAGAGATGCTGGATGTAAAATGATGACATCCAGACCCCATAAGAAGTGGATGTTTTAGACAAAACGAATTGGTGACTTGAATGCAGGAAATAGCGAAAAGCTGTAAAATACGTGCTGAAAAGAAGAAGTAAAATGTTTTCAAAGTGTGAAATTGTAAACAGCTTCTTTTATAAAAATACAACTTTTTTAGTATTGCAAAGAAATCCTTCTCCATTATGTTTTATGATGCAGATGCATTCATTATTTATTCTATTCTGATCAGATGAATCAACAGTCTTCAAGTTTCCTTTTGAAATTTGATTAAATAAAAGAGCCTACTATGGAATTTTATATCATTTTTATTTTCTTTAATATTTTAGGTTCTATATTGCACAAGCCACTCTTCATATGTACAGCTTGACTGTAGACAAAAAACTAATTTTAACATTTCAGAAGTCAAGCAGGGTTTCCTCATTATTTAAAATGTATTTTAATGAGAAAGGTTTAACTGTGCCCCATTTGATGAAATCTCCTAAGACAAGAAAGAATTGTTTTGTATTTTCCAACAAAGAAAATTAAACTTTGTTATAAAACTTTCAATATCTTGAGTGGTACTAGATGCAGACAATACAATAGGAACCATGTGTCACATGCAATATAATGTTGGATCATGCATCAAATAAGACAAAGCGGGATGTACACATATTCCATTTTTGGTAGCTGAAGACACACATCTGTATTATCGGTATATGTAATTACCAGAAATTAATGATACTATAGAATCTTGCACTTGAAGCGAGTGTGTTCTTTTTAAAACCATTGAATTTTACAATTGGATAATTTTTAGTTTTTTTATACTTTTCAACAGAAATTTTTGTTTTTAAAATGCCATCTCAAGCATTTGGTTTGTTTGCATGTGCTCTGTGCTCCCTGCCAGTCCTCCTCAAAGAGCGAAGCCTCCAAAAACGTAATGTCATTTTGTAGATTATGGGCAAAGAAACAATATATAGGTTCTTCCGGAGGCTTGAAAACCTGGGTCTAGAACACACTATTGTTGAGTTATGCACAATGATAATGTACTGTATGTTGTGGGTTGCATAATGTGGATTCCTTGGTAGCATAATCCACTAATTCTTTGATGAACTCATCCCAGGGTCTTCATCTTTCCTTAGAGTGTTACTTACAGAGAAGAATATCTGTGTAAGTGTGAAGATCTGATCATTAATTCATGGTTAGCTATGGGGATTGGGTAAGATCCTGAGCTTATTCTATGGGTGACTTCTTTGCTGTTGTAACAATTGAATCCTCCCCCTCCTGATAACTTCATAAATCATAAAACCCTCTTAGATCAGAATTTGGGAAGTTTCCATACCATTTGCTTGTTGGGTACCAGTGCATTTGGTGATCCTATGCAATAATGAAATATTGTAAGTCATCTTTGTCAACTTAAACATGTTTAAGGGGACAAAGATGTTTTACATTATTTCAGCCTTGAATAATGGCAGCAGCCATAATATCAACATTCCCACAATTCATGGTCCTAAAGAAATATGAGCTCAACTTGTAAGGAATGTGACATCTAATAATGGTTTAAATTGTACAAAGTGTCATTTCACATGTGTTCAAGAAATTCAGACAGCATAGCAAGCACGAAGAGCCCAAAATTGCCCATTGAATATATGAAGAGCATAAGTGTCTGCAGTGTCTCAGATCAGGACACTGTTTCATAAACTACAGTATTAGAAATTACGAATTTCTGTATTTTGTTTGGAATTTTTTTTCTCTACAGAGTTGGAAAGAGTTCTCCTTTCATAAATAGTTTACATAACATATTAATTATTTCTAATTCTTAATATAGGTGTCACAGAGATCTCTTGTGAGTATAAATGTATTTTATCATGATTAAAGATTAACAAATAAAGTAATTTTTTCTCAACCTTTGGCAGGCAGATGATTACTTTGGATCGGTACTGTCAAGATCGCTTCATGTCCCTGCTCCCAGTGTTGGATGTTGATGCATCGGTTACTTTGGATGACTTGGATGATATGTGGCCTGCCTTTAGAGAAGTGGTGTCAACATTTCCAAATGCAAGGTTAGTTTTATGACTTTCCATTTCATCCCTTTTGTCATTTTAAACAGAACCCCAAATCTCAAGATTTAATGTCGTAAAATAAAAATTGTTTAAAGATTTGTATTTAGTTTTAAGCTAATTTCTGTGTTGTGTTTTAAACCTTTGATTGCCAATCACTGCACACTGCTGACATGTCTGTTGTGCTGACTCATTAACTGGATGTGTGGACTGCTGTGCTCCAACAGCTGAAGTGTATGTGATCTTATTGAAATGAAAGAAACCAAACACCAAAATAACGTATGTGAATGTCCGTAGCATTGGGGATACTGTAAGTCCCACAAACAAAAACATTCATAACACATGGACTTGGATTCTGTCACACATACACGCTCGTAGCACATAGCATACAGTCAGAGAGTTCAATACCTTTAAAGAGGATTTTGTAGCATCTTGGTCATTTTTTGCTAATTACAAGTCAGTATTGCACGTTTTGTCTTTGTGAACAGCTCTTCCAGAAGAGACAAGATATTAATTTAAAGTAAGTCAGCCTGGTGGTGCTGAGGCTTGGAGCTAGGTGGCTCAAGTATACTTTACAGCCAGGATGTGGGGTTTGAAACACACATGTGCCCTTTCTCATGGTGTCACTCAGAGCAGACATTTATTGCAGCAGTGCTTTATCTAAATGTCCTTTGGGGTGGGGTACTGTGTCCCAGTTTTTTAACTACAAACCCCCTGAATAGTTTAGAATACCACACCTCATGATGTACTGGCTTAGATGCGCAGGCTATCAACTTAAGCCACTGCAGTGTCTCTGACTGGGAGGTCATAAAGTTTGAATCCCCAACCTGGCAGGGTTTTTTACACGAACTTGATAGCTGGATCAAATTCAGCCACTGTCTGGAGGAGAATTCTAGTGCCCAGCTGCTCTGATCGGTAGTTTTCTGTGCTTTCCCTGGTCAACACCAGGCACAAGTCAGAGCAGTACCTTAACAAACTGGCCATGACAGTGCACTATTTTTCCTTCGTCTTCCTTGCACTCTCCTCACCCCTTACACACACTTGCACTTACATGCACTACACCACCACACTCGCCAGGTGATCAGTCAGGAGCTCAGAGCTTCTCGTGGGAGAGGCGGTGTTCCACTGGTGGGGGAGATCCCTGGTTGGGCCTTCCAAGCCAGTGTGTAGGTCTGGGCCGGATCTCATCATCCAGCAGTGTGATGGAACCATGCACTACGCTTTCAGGACTAATGACTTCAGCAGTTGACTTGCTCGGAAACATTAGTCAATGAAATGTTTTGAAGATAGTGACTGCAAATACATGCTTGTTATTGTTACTTGCATATCAACAAAAATAGAGGACTTTTTGATGTTTAATATGGAGTAATTTTTCTTAAGTTAAAGTTTGAAGTTTCTAGTTAAAGTTAGAAGTCATTGCCTTTACTCATATGAGCCAGGGGTTCAACATTGTTAGTATCCAGAGCTTCCAGATGGTCACCCATCCAGGGATGTACGGTGTCTAGAACTGCTTAACTTCCATGACTACACAGAGCTTGGTTATGAACTTACACGACTGGTGCAGGCACATACTTACATATGTACTATATGTATACTTCAACATCTATACTATATATACATTACTGATGTACATACATTTACTATATTATGAACAAATACAGGAATTGCATGTACATTGTTTATGAATATTATATACATTTGCCTACAAATATTATACCTATGTACATGCATGCATGCATGCATGAATACATCATACCTATGTACATAATACGTATCTATGTATGTGCAAATATAGCAGCATATTGAAGCATCAAAGTGTGCCATGATTGTTTTGAAGATACGAGGTGATCTCTGGCAAGATTGTAAATTGGTACATGCTGTTCAGACTCAACCATAAGTATCTCAGTGAACCGTACTATTCAGTGTTAGGCAAGGACTAGAGAGCTTGTGTATCAAGAAAAGTTGTGTGAGCAATTCATTACCTATGTATAGGGCCACATTAAGCTTGACTTACGTCCTAGGAACAATTTTTTCGGTGTCAAAATTATTGGACCAATTTAAACTGTAATTATTAGACTTTTTTCGAAATAAAAACAGTAATCTAGAGGAATACAGATAACACAATTCATTCAAAATTTACGTTACGCTTCACTGAAAGACTTCTTTGATTTTTAATTTTTTTTCACGCCATTTTACAAACCTGCGTTTGTAATGTAATGATGTGTATATTGTAATGT